CTCACCTGTCTGTCAATCTGAGTACTGAAAGAAGTTAGTAGTTCTAGCTTCTTGGTGGGTTTATCTACTGCTCTGGTAGAAGAACCTTTCATCTGATGGCTGATGGCTGCAGGGCTGTCAGTTCATTAATGGTGGAGCCTGTGGGCTAATTTAATATTAGCCATCAGCTTGGGGACAGGTTTCTTCATCTGACTGGCTAGCCCTGTGGCATCACTATTTTGGAAAGATTTATCTGCTGCCATGAGAAGTTTAGTTGTTGAGAGGCGTGTGTGTGTGTGTGTGTGTGTGTGTGTAAGAGAGAGAGAGAGAGAGAGAACGAGAGAGATCAAACAATAGTTGGTTTGAATTTTACAACCTCAGGAACCTTGGGAAGCAGTTCCTGCTCTATCCTAGAGATTACTCTATGAGCTAAAATCAATTGAATAAACAAGTTTATTTTAAGTCAAAGTATTGAAATTTGGGGGACTCTAAGGAAGCTGAATTTGGATAGAAAGGAAAAAGTTAAAATCAAGTGAACTAAATTTCAGCACTGTCTGGCAGTGCATAAATAACTTTAAATTATTTAAAGTGATTTGCTAATATTATCAGTCAGTTAAAATATTCACTGTAATTAAGAGTATAGAGTTAAGATACATATATATGCATACATATAGACATCTGTTAAACAGTGTTTTTCCTAACTATAAAGAATTGTTATAAAAAATATACAGGAACAATGGCTGAAGAACTCATTGTTAAATCTAACTAAACCTGTACCTGTCTGACTGAAGTTTAATTAATAGTATAACAAATAATTACATTTCAGGCCACAAAGAAAAAGGTTTTATTGCTAGTTTAGAAATCTAACTCGTCTTTGAATGATCTGATTTCCAGGTGGAGGGTGGATTAGATTTACCAAACCCCATGGTCGTAGACAGGCCTGATACTCCCGTGTTTCTGTAGCTTGGCCTGGAAGACACTTTGAAACTAGTGCACCCAGGAGCCCATTAAGACGTACAGGAAGCCTTCGAATAACGGGAATGTTGGGCATGCCGTCTGTCTGGTGCTGTCACAAGTGTGTCTTACGGGTGTCTTATATTGAGGTGTGGTTTTGATGGCTCCTTGTTTCATTTGGACCCACCTGCTTGCCTGCAGGTGTAATTGGGTTTTGCCTTTTTACTTGGTGCAGTTCCTGGTTTGTCTTCCTTGGTTTGAAATGTATCACATTCAATTAGTAAAGTCTAACACTTAAGGTGATAAACCCACTGAGGGAACTTAAGATAATCTGGGCTAAGGGGCTGAAGAGAAGATAAAATTAGTGATGGTAAGCATTTGGATTGTGTGTGAGAAGGAAAAAGTGAGTAGTCAGGTCTTAGAACAGAATGTGTGGCTGTGCCAGAATGTGAGACTGAATGCTGGGCTGAAGGTACGTAGTAAGTTCAGGAGAATGAGTGAAAGCAAACTTTTTTTGGATGTAAAAAAACGGGAGGCACAAAAAAGATTTAAAACCTCTGTGGTACTGAACTAACATTCTTAGAATGAGGGAAAAAATTTATTCTTGGAATAGAAAAAGTTGTGAGTCCCTGGAGAATATTGCAACATGGGTGTCTGTATGTTCTAATAGTACATTCAAATGGTCCTAGTAGGTGTGTTTGGCCAGTGGAAGTAAAGTTGGGAAAAGACTGCAAATAGATCATTCCCACAACTTCTCAATCATACAACTGTGAGATGATGACAGAAAAGTTTGGAAATTGAACTTTGGTTAATCTAAAACTTTCAAATGTGGCATTTTGAGATGTTCCCTTCTGTTAATTGACTTTGTTTGCTTGCTACTAGTGTATGGGCTCCCCACTGATGTCTTAAAAAACTATATTCATTTCTGTATGTTTTCCTGTGACTTAAGCATGGCCCTGTCAGGCTCTGTCACTTACAGATGAGCTTTTGGTATGTGGACTCACGGAGGTCCTTAACCAAAATTCCCGGTGGAAAAGGGCTCTACTGGACTTCTCAAAAGGACTCCTATTTTAAGGTGGAGCCCACAAGTCTAAATCAGGATTCTGGAACTCTGGAAGGTGACGAGATTGAGGACTATAGCAGATCCAAAATTTGCCAAGAACAGTTAGCTCCTAACCAGACCGAATGTTTCTTTAAGTTCTATATGTAGACATACTGTGGATAGTTTAAAGGTATCCTCTGTATGTAATTAACTATTTTTCTCACTTTTCTCAGATTGTTTAACTTGAAGGTTTAAAATATCGTGGTTTGCAGAGTAAAAATTTCTATTGGAAGATTTAATAAATTCATGAAACAATGGTTAGAGAAGCTGGTACAGTAGGCGCTCTAGGTTGTGAAATAGACTAACAGTGAAGTTTCCTGCTAAGTGACTTGTTCACACAGAACCGGAAGCTTTATGGTGGAGCTGCTATTGGTCTCTGTGAATAGAGACACATACTTTGCCTTACTTGCTGTTCTCTTTCCAGATATCTGGCCTAATATTGCTAGTTTCTCTGTTTGGTTTCACCTTAGAAGTTAATATAATACATGTGTGAACCATTTGTTCTATGTCGGTTTCTTTAAGTTTTTCACTGAATCTTAAAAACATAATAAAATTGTCACTTGAAAGTCATTTTGAATTCCAATGATAATCCAGGAAAACTAGGGTTTTGCTCAGAGCCTTGAGCCCCGTTGAAGGTCTCAGGCGGTTTGTAGACAGACTCCAGGGAAGGAAAGCAGACTAGTCCGTGGCGTTCAGGGCAGGCGTAGAGTCCTTCAATGTAGTCTCTGAAGCGGCGTCCTAAGGTGTGTGTCTCGTGTTTCTGGCCCACCTGCCACTCCCCTGTCGGTGCCCCCTTGCACCCACTGCTCAGAGGGCCTCCCGTCAGTCCGAGCCACTTTCCATGTACGTGACAGTACAGAAATCCGTGACCAGAAAGGAAAGGGTTAACTCCAGCTCGGAGGAGCATGATCTCACTTCCTTAGTAAACAAACTCAAGCAGCAGCCAGGCTCTAGAGAAATGCTTTGCTTCCTTAGTAAAGGCTTGGTAAAGGCTCCCGAGGAGAGAATGCGCCCTGCAGAATGTTACTGACTGCATTTCTGACCGAATTTGTGCCCTGCCTTCTGGCTTCATGCAGCAAGCCGCCTGGATCTAGAATGTGCTTTTGGGGGATCTACAGCTTCTTTCTCAGGTCCTGTCACGGAGACCCATTTTGAGAACCTCACTGAATGAACTAGACTGGGTCTCAAGCACACGTGAGGCAGGAGTGAAGAATCGGAACTACTCCTTTGGACTTTGGATTGAAATGCTGTCGTGTGGGCAGCAGAGAAGACTACTGTCCCCAGGTCTTGGACTTTGGTTTACGTCGGCATGGCGTTGAGATTACCCCGTGATTGACAACTGAAGATTACAATACATTTGCTGCTTCATGTTGTCCTCGTTATCTGCGACACGTCTTTGTTTCACCGACAAGCGGCCTTGCCCTTGGCTCATTTTCTTCAACAGTGTCCTGCCGTCTGGGTTACACCTGCACAGGTGAACTCTCATATATTTAGTCCAACAGGGTGTCTGGGCATTTACATTCTATACCACTGGCGAAGTTAGCATTGTTCTTAAGAATACCAAATCTTTTCTTATGATGTGGCCCTGTTTAATACTCAACCTCTCAGGCATTGATTGCCAAAGATGTGAGTGCATGGCCCAGTGCGGTGAAGGAATCACACGGGGCCTGGCTCTCCAGAAAAAGTGTCCAACAATAAGCAGCCCTCTAAGTGAAGGGTCAGCTAAGTCCACAGGAAGAAGCCCATCAGCCTGTGTGGTCACCGGATAATTAATCATATAATCAGAGGGAAGAACTAACTGTATTTGAGCTCAAATTCTCAGTACTTTAAGGGTTGTGACAGTGACGTGCAAGATCCATTGCAAAGTACTCAAACACATAACTGAGTTCCTACTGATCATCAACCATGAATATTTCCATCAAAACAGATCTCAGAGATATGAGAAATTACGATGAAGAGTAGGGTGCCAATTGGCTATACTTTTATGATGGAAATATAATGTAGTTAGAATTATATTCTTTCTTTCTATGTGACTTAGCTCGTAATCCTCCATAGCTGTGACCCTGAGCTAGACTTGTCTTGTCTCATCTCACAGAATATCCTGTGAGAGTGTCCAGGCTCCCTCCCTTCCTCCCTCCCTCCCTAAGGGCCAGGACCTGTACCCCTGGCCTGGCTCCTTGAGCTTTAGGGTCCCTAAGTACTGGAAGTTCTGGGGGGGAAATATGATCTTTGTTAAAATAAAACATTGCTTTCCTGGCTGGTACTTGTCATTCCAAGATTTGTGTCTGTATAAAAGAACTGTTTTACTCAGCCGGTGTGTGTGTGTGTGTGTGTGTGTCTACACACACACACACACACATATATATTATTCTGTGAGAGCAAAAGGACAGGGGGAAGAAAAAGGGCAGGGAAGCTGGCATTGGGAGGAAGAATCCCCTGTACTCCTGTCCCATGCATGTGAAAATAAAAACGTAGAAGCTTTCAGATCCACCTGGTTTCTGTCATCTGGCAACAGTGACTGGGCAAGGCAGGCAGGCCCTCTTGCTGCCCACCCTTGAACAAACTTACAACCCAACAGAAAAATTCGGACATTGGTTATCATTTACGTGCACCTAGCAGTGCTCTTTTCATCGTATTTGTTGCTTCAGCACTACTCCAGGTGTGGTCCTTAGACCAGACACCGGTCTGGGTAGAATTCATTCCTGGTCTTAAGGAACTTGAGCCAGACAGTAAATCAACTATATGACTCAGGAGACACCATTTAGTTCAGTTGGCGGATTTTCACGGCAGGAAGCAGCGTGTCAAATTACCTCTGGCACAAGCTCTCGCATCCTCCCACCAGCTTTGTGTGAAACAGTGGTTGATTTCTGAGGTCTGAGGCAGTTCTCTGAGGGTAGGTTTCAGACTGCGGTGCCAACCAAACATACGCACGCTCGTGCACTGAAGTGGGTCGGGAAGTACTCACCCGTGCAGTTGGCTTCATCAGACCAGTCCCTGCAGTCGTTGTCCCCGTCACACACCCAGGAGGAACGGATGCACATGCCAGAGCTGCAATTGTATTCATCGCTCCTGCACTGGTGAGTTTCTGCAGGTGAACCCACGAACACGGAGTTAGCGAAACCAGTTAACCAACGGCCCCCAGCAGCTCTGAATGTCTGCCTGTGGTCAAAGCTCGCAAAGGTTAGAGACAGACACACTAGCACGGACTGACGTGCTACTTTGGGTCCCTTTCACTAGGGATCTGAAACCGTTTCCAAATGGGTTACGCGTCCGCAAACCTACACATTCCCGTGGCTCCTGGAGCTACTGGCACCCTTAGGCTCCCACAGCTGCTCGTCGCCGGAAAAGGCCAGCTTTCTGAATTGAGCCCAGGACACTCACTACTCCAGCAATAGGAAGGGGTATTCCCAAAGTCCGTGAAAATGTCTATGTATCCTTCCATGAGCTTTTGGAAGCCTCCCCTAGTCTTATCCGTGTCGATGCCTGCTATCAAAGAACGGGCTGGCGATCCACTTCTGGACAGGCAGCCCGTGAGACCCCTATGGGAACCGCAGTCCACTAGGCCGCCGTGAGTCGGGGCTGGCTCGAAGGCAGGTAGCAGCCACATCATCGTGTTGGTTAGGAGGCGCAAAGTGGGAAGCAGTGACCTTAGAGGGCGATGGCCTCAGGGAGGCGCAGAAAAGTCGTGGAGGCAGAGGGTACAGTTGCAGAAAAGGAACAGCGAGAGCGCTGGGTGTGCTGATCACGAGGAGACGCTCAGCCCAGGAAAAGTGAGGCTGATGCTAAGCTCCCAAAGAGAAGGAAGCGCAGGTGCGGGAGCGTCTGTGGGCGAAGCTCAAGGGATACTGAGGGGTGGGGGGTGCTGTCTTGGCCCTGGGACAAATGAAGCAGTACAGCCTGACTGAGTCTTGGAAGGAGCCTGTACTCACAGCACCTTCCACGGGTCCCTGGGCTGTGGCTACCACAGGATTTTCTGGTTAAATTTGAGAGATGCTAACAAAACTGGACAAACCTCCATGGGCTCTCCGTGGCTGCCCGAGTTGCCCAACCGAAGAAGCAGTTGAGGGTTAAGCTGGTGATTTGGATATTTGTGAAGGAGTGACCTGGTCTCAACCAGGAAAAGGGGCTAACTGGGGCCTTAAGATGGGAATGAGCCATGAATGAAAAGATGTGGGGGCTAGCCACTGTTTAAAGGTCGATGTGCTCAGCACAGACGATATGCCTGTGCAGGGCCGGGGTAGAAATGGTAATGAAAGGGAACGGTTGTGAGTTCAAGGGCAGATCTTCAGGTGCTTCACAATTTACCAAGATAAAGGAAAAGTATATCACCCAAAAAAGTTCCTGTGGGCTGGAAACTCTCCATTTGAAAGTGGCCCTAGACAGGCTGTGTTAGTCTGGGTAGACTAGAGAACAAATCCATGGACACACATATGTGCATAAGAAAGAGATTTATATACAAGAGCAATTGAACATCGAGAGAACATCCCAGCCCGGTCCAGATCAAGTCCATAAGTCCGATATTAGCCCAAATGTCTGATACTAATCTATAAAGTCCTCTTCAGACTCACGAAACACATGCAATGACGCGAACGTAGAACATCTCAGGCCAGTGGGTAGAAAGTCTTTGGATCCAGTGTCATTGGAAACATCTCAGCGCTGGCAGGGGTCTCTGCTTCAGCGTGGGTCCATGTGTCTTGTCAGCTGCTCTGTCTCCCAGGGTGTGAGCAGAGTCTCCCACCTCCAAGGAGGAAATACCAGATTTCCCAGAATTCTCATGAGAAGGCCATGCCCACACAGAGGCCTCATTGGCATGATCCGATTAACAGACTAGACTCCACCTCTTCACTCGTAATCCTTTCAAACTGACAGATACATAACTACCACACATGCTCTGTTGGATGCACCATGTGAACATATGTAGGGACAGCCCCTGCTTCCCCTATCGCAGGGCCTATGAGTCACAGGCTGCTCCGCATGCAGCGGGCCTGCCACCTTCAGGCCCTTGGGTTCTGTGCCTTGTGCTGCATGCTCCTCTTTAGGCAACCAGAGGCTGAGCACTAGGAGCAAGCCTACTGACACAGGGGAGCGAGCCCCCATGGAAGTGCCAAGGCGATCCTGCGTAACAGAAGGTGCCTGGAATCAGAAAGCAGGTTCCAGTTGCCCATCATGCCACAAACTAACCACGTCACCCTGAGTCAGCCCCCTCCCTGCCCTTAAGGATGCCAGGTAAGGAATCTCCATTAAAAGGGGGGAACTCAGGAATCTCTAGTATTTCTTACAATTCCAAAACACTCTTGTTCTAAATTTATTTCCATTCAGAAAACACATGATCAAAAGGTGATTTACACCATCTACTACCCCCCAAACAGTTTAAAGAACTGTTGTTCACAGGGGCCATCCAGTAGTTTCTGACTCACAGGTAACCTATATACAACAAATCAAACACTGTCCAGTCCTGCAACATCTTCCCAACTGTTCTTAGGTTTAAGCCCACTGTTGCAGCCACTCTGTCAATCCATCTTGTCCCGAGACTCCTTCTTGTTCACCGACCCTCTATACCAAGTAGGGTGCCCTTCTCCAGGGACCGGTCTCTCCTGACATGTCCAAAGTACGGGAGACAAAGTCTCTCCATCCTTGCCTCTAAGGAGCTCTCTGGCCGTCTTTCTTCCAAGCCAGCTTTGTTGGTTCTTTTGGCATTCCCTGGTATTTTCATTATCCTTTAGCAGCATCATAATGCAAATGCATAGATTCTTCATTGCTCCTTATTCAATATCCAACTTTCACATGCATATGAGGCAACTGAAAAGACCATGGCGCGCTAAGGCACACCTTAGTCATCAAAGTAACATTCTTGCATTTCAATACTCTAAAATGGCTTCGTGCAGGAAATTTACCTAATACAATGCATCTTTTTGTTTGTTTGCTTTTGGCATCTTTTGATCTCTCAATTGCCGCTTCCATGAGCACTGATTGAGAAGCCAAGCAAGATGAAATCTTTGATCTTTTCTACATTTATCATGATGTTAGGCTGTGAAGATTTGGGTCTTCTTTACGTAGAGTGGTAATCCATAACGAAGGCTAAAATGCTTGCTCTTCATCAAGGAGTCTTCCTCACTTTCAGGAAACAAGATTGGCATATTACAGGTTGCTGATCAGCCTTCCTGACGCGGCAGTTTCCCTCACCTACTCCAGCTTCGCTGATGATTGCTCAGCACACAGGCTCAATGAATGTGAGGAGAGCACAGAGCCCTGACGCACACCTCTCCTGATTCCAAACTGTGTTCCCTCGTTCGGTTCAAACAGCTGCCTCTTGATTCAGGTACAAGTTCCGCAGGAGCACAAGGAAATAGCCTAGAATTCCCATGGTTTGTTAGATCCACCGAGTACAATGTCTTCGCAGTCAATAAAACACAAGGAAATGTCTTTCTGGTATTCTCTGTTGTGGTAGTTACATAATTTCAATGTCAACTTGAAGATTTGAAAGTGAAGGGGTGGAGTTTAGCCTGTCAATCTGGTCGCAGCCTGATGGCGCCTCCCTGTGGGCATGACCTTCTCATCAGGAGGGTCGAAGGAACCTTCACCACCACCCCGCCCCGCCCCCCCGCTCCCCCCTTCTGCTTGTACCTTCCTGTTGGGAACCACACTGAGACCTGCCAGAGCCCTATGCTTCCACCACCATTGAATCCACAAGACTTTTCACACACTGGTCTATGATCTTCCTACATTCTGCATCATTCAGGCTGTGAGTCTGAAGAGGGACTTATGGACTAGGATCAGACTAAAGACTTGAGTTGAACTGGGATAGGATGTTTTATTGATGCATAACTACTTCTTGATATAAAGCTCTTACACACATATGAGCTTGATTTAAAACTCTGTCTTACACATATGTGAGTGCCACTGAATTTCTTTCTCTAATCAACCTGGGCTAACACACGCTGTTTTCAGCCAAGATCCATCTGACATAAGTGACGATAGCCCTTGTTCCAAACTGTGATGGTTAGGGATTATGCCAACTAGTCCCAACCTACAAATCAGGTCAGAGTCTGATAACACCTCCTTGGGGTGGGGGCGGGAACAGGGTGGTGGGGTCAGAGGGGCAGGGTGTATAAGAAAGAGACCTAGCGGAGTCAAATCCTCTTTGGGCCTTTACATTCAACTGGAGTTGGATCTTATTTTCTAGTCCCTTGATCTCTGATCGCATTCCCTGCTGATCCCAGGAGTGTCAGCTATCAATGGTGGGTGGATTCATTCAGCAGACTTCAGATTCATTACCTCTGCATTCACGAGTGTGTACGCCCGCCACCCCTGCTGCATCACCCTGTCTCCTGTTTGTCAGCTTGTACGAGCCAGAAGCCTGACTTACACCTGACTGCACTTAGCTACTTCTACAACTGTGGAAGCCATTTCTCAATATAAATTTCTTTCTATATACAACTGTCACAGGTTTTTGCTTTTGTAGAGAGCTCAACCTCGCGCACATGTCCTCATCTGAATCCAGCCGGAACCTCTGATGGCTCCCTGTCAATGGACTGCTACAACCGCTGTTGGGTAATCTTCAGCAAAATTTTACTTGCATGTGATAATGATATAATTCTATAATCTGATAATTGTGTTGGGTCACTTTTCTTTGGAATGGGTACAAATGCCAAGAAGTTGTCATCCAACTTTCCTGGCACAGACGAGTGAGTGCCTCCAGTGCTTCATCGCTTGCTGAAACATTCAGTTGGTGCTCCACCAATTCCTGGAGCCTTGTTTTGACTAATGTCTTCAGTGCTGCTTGAACTTCTTCCTTCAGTACCATTGGTTCCTGCTCAGATGCTACCACCTAAAATGGTGGAATGTTGACTAGATCTTTTTTTTGGGGGGGGGGATTAAAAGATCGTTTTATTGGGGCCTCTTACAGCTCTTGTTACAATCCATGCATCAGTTACACCAGGTTAAAAGATCGTTTTACTGGGGTCTCTTACAGCTCTTGTTACATCCATGCATCAGTTACATCAGGCGTGTTGCACACATGTTGGCTTCATTCTTCTCTAGACTCTCACTTTCTATGGAGCCCTTGGTGTCAGCTCCTCTTTTCCCTCCCTCCCACCCTCAGAACCCCTTGACAGATGATAGATTATTATTATTTTCATATATCACACCGACCGCGGTTTCCCTTCCCCCATGTTTTTTGTTGCTCTTCCCCCTGGAGAGGGATGTATGGTTATGTGTCGATCACTGCGATTGGTCCCCCCTTTCTCCCTTCCTCTACCCCTTTCCCCCTACCCTTCTGGTATAGCTATTCCCACTGCTGTTCCTGGATTCTGTGTGTTGTGAGTCCCCATCTCTTATCTATACCTGTGTACATGCTCTGGTCTAGTCTGATTTGAGCAGCAGCACTGGAGTCATAGTAGTTGAGGGTAAGGAAGCCTCAAGGAACCAGAGGAATATTGTGTGTTTCGTCGGTGCTTTACACCACCCTGGTTGACTCATCCCTTCCCTGTAGCCCCTCTGTGGGGGGATTGGTTCCATGTCTACATTTGGGCTTTGGGTCTCTGCTCCAAGCCCCCTCATTCTCAACAATGGTTTTGTTTGTTTGTTGTCTTTCAGATGCCTATTACCAGCCCTGACGACTCCTCATGATCGCACTGGCTGGTGTGCTTCTTCCACGTGGACTTGTTGTTTCTCTGCTGATGGCCGCTTGTTTAGCTTCAAGCCTTTAAGACCCCAGACACTATATCTTTTAATAGCCAGGCACCATCCGCCTTCTTCTCCACATTTGCTTATTTACCCCTGCTTTGTCTTCAGCGATTGTGTCGGGAGGGTGAGCATCTCAGACTGCCTATTTATTAGGACAAACTGTTCTTGTACTGCAGGACGGTATGGGCAGAGGCCTGAAGTCTGTCCACTACCTGTGTATTGCCATATAAATATATGTACATAGGCCAATACCTCTATTTTTGTGGATTAATGTATTTACATATGTACACACCTATGTTTATACCTCTATCCACTGCTTTGCTTCCTTGTCTAGATCTTTTGGGTACAGTACTCTATAGATTCTTTCCATCTTATTTTGTTACTTCCTTATTATTCAATATTTTGCTCACAGATTTATTTTTTCCTTTTTAGAATCTTTCAATATTGCAACTCGGGACATGGATTTTTTTTCTTTTCATTAGTTTATTTTTTTCATTAGTTCATTTTCTTCCTTTTTGGTTTTCTAACTCTAAGTCATAGCACAATTCATTATTTTACTTTGTCTACTGTAGCTACCTTTTAAAATTTTTCTGTTCAGCTCTTGGACTTCATCATTTCTTCCATTTGCCTTTGCTACTCTATAATCAAGAGCAAGTCTCAGCATCTCTTCTAACATCCACTTTGATCTTTTCTTTCTGTCTGTCTTTTTAATGGCCTTTGCTTTTTCATGAATGATGTCATTGATGGCCTCCAGTGGGTCATCAGGTCTCAGTCCGTAATGTTTAATGCATCAAATCTGCTCTTCAAATTCAGTGGGATAGACTCAAGGTCGTATTTGGCTCTCTTGAGCTTGTTTTAACTTTCTTCAGCTTCAACCTGTGAGTCACTGATCGTCTATTCCAAGTCCGTGCCTGGCCTCATGCTAGCTGCTGAGATTGAGCTTCCCCATTGCCTTTTCCCACATATGTAGTCAACGGGATTTCTGTGTAGCCCATCTGGAGAAGTCCGTGTATGTCATTGCTGTCTGTGTACGTCACCATACACACGGTACCACGCTGTACTTCAAGACAGATCTTGAAACATCCTTTTTAATGCTAACTGCAATGCCATTCCTTCTGACTGTGCCATTCCCAGCATAGGCTCAAAATGGCCAAAGCCATCTATTTCAGCTCTCGAACAACTAGCATATTGATCTTTATGCATTCCATTTCGTTTCTGAAGACTTCTAGTTTTCCTAGGTTCACACTTCATATGTTCAAAATTCTGATTATTGGATTTTGCATCTGTTTCTTTTCATTTTGAGTCTGCCCCATCCGCAATTTGAAGGTCCAGAAGGCTTTATTCCCAACAGGCCTTTAGTTCCATCCACATCATGATGGTGAACTCTCTCTTCCTCAGTCGCATTTGAAGTGCTTTCTGTCCTGAGGGGCTCTTCTGGCGCTCTCCCTGACAGTGCTCTGCTTCTGTTCACTGGGCCGTCAGCGTCTGACAGTGTTCAGCTGCGATCCACGAGGGCTTCAGTGGAGGATTCCTTGAAAGTGGACAGCCGAGTCCATCTTTCCGTTGTCTGGAAGTCCTCCTGAAACCTGCTCGTTTGGGGTGACCCCTGCTGGTATTTGAAACACCAATGAAACAGCTTCTAGCATCACAGCAACACAGCTTCCACAGTAAACCAAAACGACAGACAAACGGTGGCTTAAAAGATTAGATGGGCTTAAGATGGATCCGAAAAGTAGATATGCATCCTTGGGAGGCAAAAATCACGGCTGCTCCGAGGGAGAGGTCACATCTAACCACCTGTTAATAAGTTCCTGAAGCCACTAGGACATCTTCCTAGCTACTATATTTCCCCTTCTCTGAAAGGTTAAAAAAAAAAAATCAAGCCACCATTGTCATGTGTACCCCAACTCCTGGCAACTTTCTGCCTGTCAGAGTGACTGGGCTGTTTCCAGCAGCTGTTTGACGGAAGCAGATTTCCTTTCTTCCAAGTTGCCTCCGGGTGGACTCAAGCCTCCGTCCTTTCAGTTAGCCCAGAGTGCCCTAACGACTGGCACCACCCTGAGAGGTAACGGAGGGTTTTTCCTCGTCTTACAGTAAGTAAGTGACGGGAACTGAAAAAGCTATGCTCTACTTTCCTGCCTGTGAATCCAGCGTCTCCTTTCCTCCGGATCAAAGAAACGAAATCCTCGTGAAGCGTAGCAACCAGCACGCCCCAGGGGCACAGGTGAGGTCCCCTCTGGAACAGCATGCACGGGCCTGTCCCTCTTACCACAGTGGCTTTCGTCGCTGTTATCTCCACAGTCATCCTCCAGGTCACATTTGTAGGAGAGTGGAATACAGGTGCCAGATTCCTGGCAACGGAACTGGGTGTCCAGGTCACAAACAGTGGTAGCTGAAAATGGGAGACAGAACACACCAGTTAGATACAACTAATTCTTGCCAAGCACAAATGTACCTTTAGGAAACCACTGGAAAATCAGAAGGAAGCAGATAGTAATTATATCTACAGAAGTTAAATCTGGACTTCTGGTAGAAATGAGCTGTCTGAAAACTGGAAACTGAGAACCCAGGGCGACAGGGGCTTATCTTTCCTGGGACAGCCTCCAGATCTGAACGGGGCGGGTGAGGAAAAGGTGAGAAACTGTTGACTGGCTGGGTGAGAAAGTGATAGGCTGGGTTATCACCCAAGATCCCTCCAGATCGAACGTTGGCAAACACAAGGTTTCTTCCTAAGTACATGGCAGATAGAGCCCAAAGGAGAAAACTGCCAAGTTTCACAGAGGATGCTGGCTATTGTCTATACGAGATTAAGTCAGAAAGTCCGGCCGCCTCGGGTGCCAAGTCTTACATACACAGGTTCATTCCTTACAAACCACATTTGAATACATCTCTGTGATCAGTAGGTGCTGCAGACAAGTTTGCTCAGGCTCCTTTAAGGAGCCCAGGTGGCAGATGGGTTACGCAGTGGGCTGCTACTGAAAGGTTGGTAGGTTAGAGGCACCACGTGCTCTGTCGGAGAAAGCTGAGGCTGTCTGCTTTGCAAAGAAGCTGGGACCTCACAGGGTTGGGCATTTTTAATGAGAAGCAAACCTGTTGGCTTAGCAAGCTTTTGGTGTCATGCATTGCATGAAGATTTGCTACCTCGGGGTGCTAATCATTCCATTGTCTTCTAAGCAAGATTTGAGCCAAGGAAGATGGTTTCATGCAATAACTTGTCACAGGTGAGTCTTGGATTTACTGAGCTGGTCCACTAAGAGCTTGGCGAACTATGAGCATGCAAAGGATCTGCTGCAGCAGTGGCATTCACGGCAGAGAGACCAGCTCAGGGGATGACGACTGCTTTGTGGGATCTCAAAGGGGATCATTTTGACAGATTTTTCTGGAAGGTCACAGTATAATCCCAGAGGATGATTAGGAAGACATTTTAAGAAAACTTTAGATGGCTCTTGAGAAAAAGGCTAGGAAAGTTGTGCCAAGGAATGTTTGTCCCCATCACAACCATGCCCCTGCTCACTGTTTGAGGGCAGTGAGCCTGTCCCATGAGCATCTCATGGGTAAGCATTCCCCCGTCTATCTTTCAGACTTCTTTTTGTTCCTCGAGTGCAGAGAACCTTTAAAAGGAACAGAGTGAAGTCTTCCAAGGAGGGCCTAACTGCCATTTGGACCCGGTGTGTACAGAACTCTTCGAGGGGAGGGCAGAGATGGAAACCCCACCTTCAGAAGGGTGTAGGCCTAGATGGAGGATATGTCGAGAAACAATAGCCTGACGGTCTGCAATCTGGGTGCCATAACGGTTTCTCCCATTCTGTAATAGCAGTTTTTCCCCCTTCTGTGGCAAAGACAAGAACTCTACAGGCTGTCAAGACTGAGGTTAAACCTGGCTGTCTCTTTCTGCGGCCATTCATTCTAACCTCCCTTAGCCTGATTCCTCAATCAGGCTATCATCACGGAACTAAGCGCTTTCAACCAATCAGAAAGACCAAGTCTAGATCTTGATTCTACCACCTGCAACTTCACCTTTACCAGCTTAACCATCTGTCCCTCGGTTTCCTCGACCGCAACAGGAAGAAACTACCTATCCTAGCGTTCCTGTGACAACAGACAGAAAGACCATGCTGGGAGCCGAGCTTAAAGCACAAGCTATCAACACAACGGCTCCTAGCAAATGCCAGCCAGCTTCCGAGGTGCCCCGAGGTGCCCCAGGGTGAGCACAGGATTAGGTCTGTTCCCTCTTCTGCAGAGAAAACTCCTGGGTTTAAGCACCATCCCTCGGAGGCACCGGGGAAAGCCTGCCAGGCAAGTTGGTGGAAAGGAAGGCTGTTCTCAGAACAGCTGAGGCTGAGATGACAAAACAGAATCATGGAACGGAGGGCGTGGGAGTGCAGCGAGATGAGAAGCCAAGCGACATCACTGCTGTTTGACATCGAGCAGCTCTTATTTGAGGCTCCATTTCTCCTCTGTAATTGAGTCTTGGTGGGAGGAAGGGGGCGAATGTATAAATGACAAGACTGCCGGGGTTCGCACCAAAACCTTGAGTGCCTGACAGTGACCCGGCCAGAGGGGTCTCTTCACGAGGGACAGAGGAGAATCTACTGACACCATCGCCCCCATCCTTTCCCCTCGGCTTCCGGGTCCTGCCAGCTTAAGGGACACTCCATGTAACTTCCGACAGTTGCCCTGGTAGCCAGGCCATTTCTGTAGCCCCGCACCGCCCAGGGTGCACCCCCACCAACCCTGTAAGCACTCTTCTCACTGCTGCTGGCCTCCTTGGCCAGGGCCGCTGGGAAGGAACTGCTACCTCTGTTCTCTCTCCCTGCTTCCAAAGGCCCTGAATTGCACTTCAGCCCACCTCAGCCACACCAGACTCTCCAGAACGGAGTCAGTGGTGAGTGCAGGGCAGAAAGCTAGTGTCAGGGTCCCCGAGGGTCAGTCTCAGCTGGCATTTACACCAAGCCAGGAACAGGCCCGAGCTGGGTCCATCATCCACAGTCCTACTCTGACTCACGCAGGGTTGTCTGGAGTTGGAATTCACTCAGCAGTGTCTGCTTTGGTTTTCTGGTTTGTTTTGCTGTTGCTGCAAGATTTCCATTCAGTAAAAGCTCTTCTGTGTGATGTACACTCCTTGAAGCCAAAGGAAAAGGATTAGGAAAGGTCTTGTTAAACAACCTTCCTCTAAGCTAACAATGGCAGAGGAATCGGATGCACTGGCCCTGCTGAACCACTTTCTGGGTAAGGGGCTTGTGAACCTCGTGCAGGTGTCCTAACACACTCTGGACAGCCTGGAGAAGAATGGGCATCCGGAACATCCCCTGGTGCTCATGGAGAGCCTCCACCTGGATCAAGGGTCAGCTGAGGGAACAGGCCAAGGGAACCCTGCCGGGTTTAAAACCAGGGGAGGTGTGCATCGGGTTGTGTGCTCGCACCACACTTACGCACACTCTATGCTGAGCAAGCCATCACAGAAACTGGAGTCTAGCAAGAAGGGTGTGGCCTCAGGATTGGAAGAGACTGATTAACAACCTGTGATGTGCAGATACACAACCTTGGTTGCTAAAAGTGAGGAGGACTTGAAGCATTTGCTGACAAAGAGCAAAGAGTACAGCCTTCTGTAGGAATTACAAGTCTTCGTAAAGAAAACCAAGCTCCTAACAACCTAACATAATAAATGGAGAAACGGTAGAATTGTCAAGGATTTTGTCCTGCTTGGCTCCCCTATGAATGCTCATGGAAGCAGCAGTCAAGAGAGCAAACGACACAATGCCTTGGGTAAATCACCGGCACAAGACTTGTGTAAAGTGTTGGAGAGCCAGGATATAACTCTGAGGACTATTGCCTCAGATGCATGTGAAAGTTAGACATTGAATAAGGTACTGGGTTCTCAACCTGTGGGTCGAGACCCCTTTAGGGGGGTCAAATGACCCTTTCACAGGGGTCACCTGATTCAACGAAAATAATTTTATGGCTGGGGGTCACCACAACACGAGGAACTGTACTAAAGGGTCATGGCATTAGGAAGGCTGAGAACTGCTGGAATAAGGACTGAAAAAAATCCCAATGCATTTGACTATACAACTGGCAGAGCATATCGACGGTCCCAGGACCACCAACAGAACAAGCACGTCTTTCGGAAGAAGTGCAGCCAGATGCTCCTTGAAGGCAAAGATGGTGAGGTTTTGTCTCGTGGGCTCTGCACACGTTATCAGAGAGATCGGTCCCTGGAGAAGGGCATCTTTCTTGGTAGGGTCTCAAAAAGGAGGAGAGTCCTTAACCAGATGGGCTGACGGTGGCTGCGAGCCACCACTGCTCAAGCATAGGAGCAGCTGTGAGGCCGGCGCAGGACCGGCAGCGTCCGGTTCTGTTGCACACAGTCACTGTGAGTTGGAGTCAATTTGACGGCACCGAACAAGAGGTTCAAAGAAGCCCCAGTGGCACTGTGGGTAAGCAGGAGTGCCAATGGGCACGGCAGTGTGTTGTTCTTTGAAAGGAGATGGCAGAGTTCTGGTGGTGCTGAGGGGTGGGCAGGGGGTCCCTAACTGGGTTGGCAATTCAAACCCCTCAGCCGCTCCATGGATGAAATGAAGCCATTCACTCTCGTAAAGAGCTAGTCTCTGAAACACTCAGACAAGTGGCTATGAGTTGGAATTGACTCAATGGCCGTGGGTTGCAAAGCAATTAAGACAAATGTGCTACTGAGAAAACTTTTTTACAGCCATTCACTGATAGCAGAGACATGTTCATACACATTTTGTTTGGGGAAAACAAAACACGTATGAACTAGGATTCTGGTAGCGACACGTTCCGACTGATGCTCTGGTAAAATGACTGAAAGAGAAGCCCCCAACCTGGTTGAGGATCCCCCCACCCATCCAGGGCTTAGCTTCTCAAAGCCAAACTGTACCCTTCAATGTCTCCAAACTGGTAAGATTCAGTGGTTTTTCTAATACAGTCCCCTTTTCCTGGCTAACTCCCCAAACCTTTGCCCAAACCTGCCCACCCAGCATTGCTTTGCCCGTGGCTCCCACTCAACATTCACTTTCAGGTTCCTGTCCAGGAAACACACACTCTGAACTTTGATGGTCACATACAGCGCACCCTTGCCTATTCTAGCCTCTTCCCCCCTCTGCCTCTGGCGGGCTCACCCTCCTCTCTCGGGGCTCTCCAGTAATGTCTGCCCAAGTATGATTTGGGAGCCCTTCCTGGGCACAGAATTCATCAGGCTACAAAAACTGCCGACTCACTCTCCCACCTCACAAGGTCAGGGCCTGTCTCCACCTTGGTCACCTGTATACACACACACACACACACACACACACACACACCACTCGAAGGGCAAAGCACCATCCTTAGAAGTTGATACTAAGGCCTTTAAGCTTTAAGTGAAGAAAAGATGGCTAGCAAAAGTGTTGGCAAGCACAGCATCCACTGTAACTGGCCCTTGGTTTGCCTTCAGACCCTACTAAACTCGGCCATCTAGGCCAGCAGCTACGAGGAGAGCAGGTGCCGATCTGTGGCAACCCCATTGTGCTGCACACCCGAGGTTCTCATCGGCTTGCTTTTCAAAAGCAGGTCACCAGCACTTTCCTTTTTTCCTGAGGCAACTCTGGATAGACTCGAACCTCCAACAGTTTAGGTGGCAGCAGAATGCACCAGCCATGTGCATCACCCAGGGACTCCACTTGAGTAGTTAGGAAGCCAAACGAATTCAGTGCAAAAGTAACATTCATGTGGCACCATCCCCACACCCCCATCGAAGCCACACCAGGCGCCAATAATCAACTACAACGCTCGCTTCAGAGCCTGGCACAGCCAGCCTCACGGGCTTGAAGCAACACACAAAATGAAACCTGTACGCCACCTCCGAATGGGCAGAACCTCAGATTCGTGAATCTACGAAATCCCTGCTGGCCTGCCCACGGCTATCAACTTTAACACCGAGTGAGGGCCAAGGTAGGAGCCCAGATGGCCCAACTGCAGAACCAGCCCTGTTTCAGCCATGTGATGTCTACTCAGAAACCTCCTATAATCAGTATCTTACATTTAAGTGTTCTTTATCTTTAAATAATAGTAATGATAACATATAGTGAGAACATAGTTTCACTGGTTATGGAAACATGTTTTCCTGGTTCTCTAAGCCCCATCAGCATTCCCTGGTGACCAGCACCCTGAGCTGCAGCCTTTAGGACAGAGAACGTCCACAGCCCGGCGGCGGCTCAGACAGAAGACTCACGGCAGTTCCTCTCGTCGCTCATGTCTCCACAGTCATTGTCGAAGTCACACCACCAGATGCTGTTGATGCAGTTGCCGTTGCTGCAGCGGTACTGGTTGCGTAGACAGGTGTTCTCTAGCCATCAGCAGCCGGTGGTGGGGAGGAAATGAAACCAGAATTACTCCTTGTGCTGGGCCGCGCACTTCCCCTTTTGCGTTTCCTCAAACAACACATCTGCGATGGCAAAGGGGAAGGAGGATGCCATGCGCACAGCATCTGAGAGTGGCCTCCTCCTTCCTTCGCTCAGTGGAAATCAATGGAAAAGGAGCAGGCTGGGGCAATGAGTAAACAAAGGGGGTCACTGATGATGCCAACTGGGTGTACGTGGGCGAAGACGCCCTACATCAACATTACAAGATACCAATCACACCAGCCATTCAAATGGCAAGTGTCCACACAGGATCAAAACGTATGAAAATATAGCCAATACAAAGCGCTTGACTGGTGTAATGAATTATGAATTGTTAACCACTAGGTCTGTAGTCCAAACCTAGCAGTTGCTCTAGTGTAGAAATCTGAGGCTGTCTATTCCCACCAAATTTCGATTTTGAAAGCCCAAAGGGGCAGTTCTGCTCTGTCCTGTAGGGTCAGGAACAACTCGAGGGAAATGGCTATACAGTCACTATATTGATAATCCTGCCACACACGGTAACACCCACGGAAGCCGCGGAACCTGATAGGGCTGCCTTCTTGTTCCAAGTCTCTCAAAGGCTCTGCCGTTGGCGGGGGTAGTCGTCGAGCTTTGCTTCACTGGAGGAAAATTTCTGCACTTTCCTTCTCTGACAGGTTCTGGCTTCCACGGGCTTTCATGTACGTGCACACACATACACATTCAATTTACTGCCCTGCTGGGTTGCGAGGATTTTCTCTGCATACTCTGAGAAGTTGTTCCTGCCTCATGATTGCTTTAAAACTAGCAGGTCTAAGTACTCAGGCAGTAGAGGGAAGGGTGGGGGGGGTGGCACTGTTCAGAAAGTGGGTCTCTGCTTCGGATCCCAGAGGCGCTGTGATGAGAAAGGTGGACAGGCCCCCTCCTCACGGGAGGGGTGTGGCCTCTGCCTGTAGCATTCCACAAGGCCCTAAGGTCATGCTCGAAACCTGAATCAAAGTGTCCTCTTCCTGAGAAGGGAAGGCTCACCTCTTTTTCTAGTTGTGCTTCTTGAAGAAAGACTGTAAGAGTGACGGGTACTTGGCTGCCCTGGGCTAAGGGTTCTATGAGAAGGGAGGGTATGATTACAAAGAAACCAGAAGCTCGGGGACACGCAAAAGCAGGCCTCTGGCCATCAATCCAGGCACTTTATAGCAAAGGCCCCTCCCAGGAGGTCACCTAAGTAACAAGAATATGAGACTGGGGGGTGGGACAGTGACAAGGGTAATAACAAGGAAAGAAAAATTAAACAGCTTTTCAGAGGGACGACTGTCAACTTTATTCAAATTTCATATTCAAATCCAAAGGGAGAGGTGGAAAAGCCCACTTGGTCTTAGCCTGGGAATAAAGGTTCCACTTGTACGGGCCCAAAGCCCTTTGCAAACATTGCTCAAAACACCTCCAAGGCATTTCAGCCAAGGGAGGGGGCGGTATTGTGGGAGATGCTAGGCAAGATGGGGTGGACTCAGAAGGATGAAAACCAGTTATTTTCCAGTCAGGCTGGTCCAGAAAGCAGGAGCAATGAGAGGACTATAGGTGTGGGGTGGGTGAGGAGAGAAAGGAGGGAAAGAGTGAAAGAAAGGTCCAAGCCAAAGAGGTCTGGGCTAGCTGACACCAAGCTCCATCTCTGACTATGCCATTTAGGCTTCCTTGGGATAAATCCTCAAGTCCCAGTGGCCCGGTCACCCACAGGAATCGGTTGTTGGCTGCTGTTGAGTTGGCCCTCAACTCAGGCGCACCAACCAGATAATGGAAGAAAGGTGTGCCCAGTCCTGCACCAAACCCATGCCCAAACGCAGATCCCACTGCTGTGACCAACAGGTTTTCATTGGCTGATTCAGGCACTAGATCATGGGGTCTTTCTTATCTCGAAGCTCGGTGGTAACCTGATCAGTATCCCAGCAACAAGCCTCTGCTGACAGACAGGTGCTGGCTGCCCTGGAGGCTCACGGATTCGAACGTGAACCTGGGTCTTCTACACTGAACAACAACTGCCTCAAACAGAGATATAAAATTTGTAACAAAAGAACACCACCAGCGCTTCCATGGAGTCCATCTGACTCACGGTGCCCGACAGGGTTTCTGAGGATGTAAATCTTTACAGAAGCAGACAGCCTCATCTTCCTCCCAAGGAGACACGGGTGGGTTTGAGCCAATGATCTCGCGGTTAGCAACCCAGTGCTTGCCCAACATACACCAGGGCTTCTTATCTAGGGATCCAGTGGATTTTATTTTCACCTTAGACTCTTGGGCTTAAAAAGGTCAAGGAATAGGGGGTCTTGGGAAAGAAGGAGGAAGGAGGAGGTCGCACCAAAAAAGAAAAGAGAACTTACCTTCTTTGACACAGGTGCTGTTCTCCAAGCGATAGCCCGGGGGGCAGTCACACAGCAGGTCCCCAGATGGAAGGACCTTGCTCGGCACCCCCTCTGGGCACCTGCAGCTTCGGCTGTGATTAGCCTTGGGCAAGCAGAGCAGGCTGCAGGGCTTGGACACACAGGCATTGCTCCCTGCAGTGAAGACAAATACACAGCGCAGGTTAGCAAATAACACGAGGCACTAAAAGGGAAGACAACGCACGGAATGTAACCTCGTCATTTCACAGCACGAAGACATGAAGCTCAGGAAGGCCCTCAGAATGCTGAGAACCCGTACTCAGAGTCCTGAGCCAGGGCCTGACCAACAGGTGCACCAGAGACCTGCTTCCTGGCCTCAGCCAGATCACTGGCCAGTCGTTCCAGAACAAGCAGATGCTACTCCTGGGAATGTAGAGCCAGTGGCTGCCGAGACTAAGCTTTCTGAAAGGGAGCTAGAGTTAGGGGAAAAGTCACTCAGCCTGGGTGTCAACAGTTTAGTGTCTCACAGATGTAGCCCAAACCATCACCAGTTAAAGGGATAAAGAAACCAACTCTGAGAATTAAGCTAAAATCTGTCTGCAGAGATTCGGGAGACAAAGTCGATTTGTGAAGCAAAGACAGGACAAGACGGCAACCCTGGAGGTGATGACTTTGCACTGCCCACGTCCATTCCCCTAGGGCTCACCCACGCTCACCCACGCTCACCCACGCTCACCTATGCAAGGGCTGCGGCACAGTGAGTTAGTATGACGCTTCTATCCTTTTCACACCCACCAACCAAACCAAACGACCTGTTGCAGATATTGGTGGGAATCAGTTATGAGTGATTGCTACCAAGGTGAACAGTGATTGCCATCGTGTGGGTAGAAAACGCGTCATCTTAGAAGCAGGGAGGAGGGATCGCACTACCAGCAAGAGAGGAGTCAGGAGTGAAGTGTGTCCCTTGGACCCCAAGGTCCCTGTGCAGTGAACCTCCTCCTTGACGCAGAAGATGGCTGCGCTATCAGAAGAGCAAGCGAGCAGCAGAGACAGAATGATGGGCTTCCCGGACCACAGAGCAAGGAGGCTGAGTGCCTGCAGGGAGGAGGCTGGCTTATAGAGTGTGGTGCCTGTAGACTCGTTCATTGAGGAAGAGAGGTTTGCTGACTCCCGGAGACACACCTCAGTGCCTTCTTGCCCAGATGTAAGTAGGGTGGAGTGGCAGGCCCGCTGGGCATTATTGGCCGCCCAAAAAGGAGCATCCCAGTATTGTTCGAGATAAGCCAGGGTCAATGGGCCATGTGGTTAAGAGGCTAAAGACCAGAGAGCTGTCAGGAACAGATAACAGAAAGGATCAACACTGGCCTGAGCGGTGGTCAAGATACACTGTGAATGTGCAGTGTCCCCTCATATCCAGAAAAGAAGGTTCGAGTGAAAATGTGCAGAGCATACAGGTAGTGTTAGCCGCCCCAACCCACTGTGAATGCGATGAGTTAACTAAAACAGATCTGCCCATGAGATCACAGGCTGGCTTTTCTGGTCTTGTCTGAATGGGCAGGAGGTCCCTGCCCTGGAATTATCCTGCTCCCAACCCCAGGAGAGTAAGAAAGAATCCCTGAGGCAAAGGGATGAAGGAGCACCGATAGGACAAGAGGGACTGTGTGGCCTGGTCCGGCACAGCCTGAGATCTGAGCTCCCTCCACCAGTCCACATCTCCCATCAGAACACCCAGTCGTCCACCTGGACCGCCTCAGCTCCAGAACTGCTCCGAGAGGTTACAAGAGAGTGACCGTTGGCCGCACAAAGGGGAAGCCCTCCAGGAAACCATGACGCAGGCGAGGCTACAGTGCCCCTCCCTGCCCTGCTGCCCAGGCAGTGTGACTGCAGGCAGCAATGCTCTAGCTGTTGGGAAACATGATCAGGACAAGCCGGGTGATCTGGGCACAGTGCTTCTGAAGCAGCCAGCTACTACCTGCCCAGCATCTGTGCGCACACAAGCACTAGCAAGAATGAAGAGCGGGCCTCTGACAAGCCAGTGTTGACTTACCGCCAACTCGTGGCGACCCCTGGGCATCCAAGTAGAACTGTGCTCCATAGGGTTAACAACCGTTTGTTTCTCAGCAGTAGACTGCAGATCTTACTTCCAAGGCACTTCGTGGGAGATTCCAGCCTCCAATTCTGCATTGGAGCAGCCGAGCACAGTAACCCAGAGACTCTGGTAGCTTTTGAGTGCTGCTAAAGCTCCCCCAAACAGCAGGGCAGACCGGTAGGAGTGGGTGTTATTGGTCAAAAAAGGCCCTGAGACCAGAGCCACTGGGCTAAGAAGCCTGGTTTCTTTACCTCTCCCTAATTTAGAACACACGCCGGGGGCTTCCCCAATTAGTGGCAGAACTGAAACAAAAGTCCGGCTCCTCTACTAGTGAGAGTACTCTGAGGAAGCTAATTAATAACTGAGGTTCTAGTCCCGACCTATAACCGTGGTGTGTGTAGACCAGCACTGTTGGCCCTAACTATACAGCCACACATGTAGAGGACACTTGATGCCCTCAGTGTTCTCCATGTGCGGGCCAGCCAAGAACCACAAAACAAAATGAACATTCTCCTGCAGAACAGGAAACCTGGCCGTTTGACAGTACAAGGGAGTCCGCAGGTCCAGGGTGAGATTTAATCCTGCGGAGAGAGAGAGGGCTCTTCTTGGAGCGGGGGTGCGGGGGAACCTAATGCCACTCCTTCAGGATCAGTCCTGTGGTTGGGAGAGGAGGGAAAAGCAGAGGAAGGAGGAAGGCTTCAAACCCAACAGTCTTGGACGCCCCAGCCAAGAGGTCAACGGCTCCCTGATCTTCAGGACAGCTACTTTTTACATCCACTTGCCACACTTCCCTTGCTTCCCATCCCTTATGATTTCAACAGGTAGACATTGAGCAGCTACTAAGTGCTAATTTGGAGGGAACCTGCTGGCACAGTGGATATGGTGCTTGGCTGCCAACTCAAAGCTCTGGGGTTCAAACCCACCAAGCACTCTGGGAGAAAGAAGTGGTGTCTGTGTCGGAGAAGGCAGACAGCCTCTGGGGCAGCTCTGCGGGGTCCTGCAGGGCTGCTATGCACTGGAATCGGCTTGTCAGCAGTGGGTTTGGGAGTGGGAGTAAGTGCTCACTCTCACTGTGGCCAGCCGCTGTCGGGTGGCTCACGGTGCAACAGGCTGCTTCCCGGTCCTGCACCCCCCCAGGATGGGCTGCAGATCAAACCACTGGGAAGCCATAGGGTTGGACTCCGCTTCTTTTTAAATTCCATCACCAGGCCTTACTTCTAATCTGGAAGCTCTGCTGAAACTTATTCAGTATCATAGCAACATGCAAGCTGCCACTGACAGGCGGGTGGTGACTGTGTAGGAGGTGCGCTGACCAGGAACTAAACCCACATCTCCTGCCTGTAAGGTGAGACTCCTACCACCCAGCCACCAGGTCCTCACTGAGTGCACTGGTGACATTCTTAAGCCAAAAAACGACACAATCTCTTCCTCAGTAGGATTTCAAGTTTCAAGGTAGGGGATGAAGAAGTTCAGTCAATCACCGCATAACTACATGTTGGGTTCCAACAGAGGCAGAGCCCCAGTGAGCTCAAGGTCGCTGGAAAGAACAAGGGCCAACCCCTGTTGAGAAGCAACAGCTGTGTGAGCACCCAGCCTTGCCCCAGTGCCGCACACTGTAAGTGAGCCAAACAAGGATTAACCACATGCTGGGGCTCTCCCAGCTGCAGCAGAAACCACACAGCCAATCAAAGAAGGGACCCAGGGCAGGAGGAGGGGGTAATTATGCACCAAGCACCAACACTCTAGGCAGGCAAATACATGCTGTCTTCCAGCTGTTTGTGTATCATTAGAAAAGAAATTAAGATGTCATTAGGAAGAAATTAAATAATGTGCATGTTGTAGTGACAACAAAAATGCCGGCTGCCAGCACCTCCTCTGTGTGGTGATTGCCCACATGCAGCCCCTTCCCCGAGGTCAAGGCTGCAGAGATGGAGGAGGAGACGGCCTCACCAGTGGTCTTTCCCTTGTAGAAAATCTTCAGGTCCATCAGCCCAGTGAGCTGGCTTGCCAGAATCTCCATCTGGGACCCGCTGTATTTGGAAGCTCGGAAGATGCTGAGTTGTGACCAGTCGTCCCAGTAGATCTCGTTCTAAAAACAACAAGAATGCTTGCTCTTTAGTCCAGCTCTTTGGTCCTATCTTCTGAACACTCTCCCTCTTGCCCCCCAATAAGGACAAGAATCCCTCCATGTAGTGGGCATCTAACACTGATAACTGGTTGACTGACAGGCCTGATCAGCATTCCACTTAAACGCAAGGGCCAGGTGTTTCACCCAAGTGTAACCACAGAACAACCCAGAAAGACACTCCATCGGATAAACATCCTTGGTAATCCCAAGCCCTGGGTTCACGCTCTGCCTTCCAGGAGCTGTAAGAACAAACCTCTCACCGAGAATCAACACAGAAGTGAAAGGTGGTACCGATGGAGCTCCTCTCGTATCATCAGGGAAGGAAGTGAAAAAACGAAACCAAGCCGAGCTACCAATAACGAGGGGCAAATGGGCAATAGTCACAGGAAGCAATCCCCCACTTCCAACCTTGAGATGGAAAGTGGGATAGAAGACTGCCCCTGGCCCCGCACCTCTACCTGACACCCCCACCCCCCCATCCACCCCCACCCCGAGCAAACTACACTGGATGTCTCTGAGTCAATTCCGACTCAGGAGCACCTTACACAGGTTTCTGAGGCTGAGTCTCTGTGGGAGTAGATTGCCTCATTTCCCCTGTGCAGTGACGGGGAGTTTGAACTAGTGACCTTGCAGTTAGCAGCCCAACTCGCTGCCCACTACACCGCCAGGACCGCTTACTTCTGCCAGGCCTGCCTCCCCTAATTACCTCAATTAACTTGTTTAGTTCCTTGTTTAGAACATTATTATAATGATATGCTGGAACAAATTAGACAAGCAGGTTGCGTAAACAATACATTAATAAAGACCTCAAATCTTGAAATGGTCCACTTTTCTAGACACTGGACAAGCACCTCTGAGAAACCAGGGAAAGCAAGCTTTTTTACCTCAGTGGGCTCTTCCAGGACACACATAGCCGGCCGTGGGGACACGCATGACCAAGGACTCACTCACCTTAAAGATAGCAATGGCGTAGGGGTGTGGCAGGTTGTTCAGGATTACCGAGCGCTGCTGGCCACTGAGGCTGATCCGTTCAATGCAGTCCAGATAGGCGTCAGTCCAGTAGATCCACTGGTCATCCACAGAGATGCCATTGGGCCACTTCACATCCTCTGACACAAGGCGCAGGACAGCAGAGCCATCCATGTTGCTGCGGTAAATCCCGGGCCTCAGGTCTCCCCAGTCAGTCCAGAACATCACCCTGCAACATCGTGAATCACACCCCATCAGAACTGGGGGCACAGGAACCCAAAGGCCAGGAGGTAAGGAGGTAAGGAGCCTCGCCAGAGCAATCCACACTCAATTGAGAATCACCTTCACAATCTGCCATCGTAGTATTTGAAGCCACCCAACCCTCCATCCAGCAGCCCTGGTGCTGTAGGCGCCACACACTGGGCTGCTAACCACGAGGTCAGCAGTCCAAACCCACTCCCGTCAAGCACTGAGTCTCGGAACCTCACGGGCCCGTTCTGCACCCTCCTACAGGACCACCGAGTCAGGACTGACTCCATGCCAGTGAGCTCGCTTTGTAACTCCCTGATCCAGAAGCCCCTCTCCTGGAATTTACTTTTTGGATATAATCAAATTAAGCAACGATGATATATGAAGATGTTTACCACGCTATTATCTGTACTAAAATGAAAATAAAACTCAATCTACACCAAACGCACTGCATTAGAGTTGATTCCTGATCCAAGTGACCCTGCGGTGCAGAGAACTACTCCACAGGGTTTCCGAGGCTGGAAATCTGTGTGGACGCAGACCGCCTCATCCTTCTCTTGCCGAGTACTTCGTGGGTTCAAACAGCCAACCTTCCAGTTGGTAGCCCAATACTCAGCCCAATGAACCACAAGAGGCTTAGATATATACGATTCCATTTTCATGGGATATAAAGATAATGAAATTTTTCCACGAAGTTTTTGAAGCCCTCTTGCGTGGGGGTGTACTAACCTATATATTTATTTGTAGAAGAAATGATAAACTATGATACACACAATAGAATGCTGTGAAGTGTAAAAATCTACATTGGCTCACATGCAACAATCTGCAAAAAAACAGATGCAGAATGACAAACATGCTATTGTTTCGATTTGTGTGTGTGTGTGTTGGTGTGTGTGTGTGTGTGTGTGTGTGTATGTGTGTGTGTGTGTGTTTTAAGGAAAATCATATTTTTGAACATGAGTTTAATAAAAAAAAATTTTTTTAACTCAATGATACACAACAAACACTGATTACCCTGAGGAAACCAGAGTACGGATGGTTATTTATGTGTGCGAAGAAAGAAACAAGTATTTTCCATTTCATAAAACTCAATGCTCTTTAATGTTTTTTTAAATAAAGTGCCCATCTTACCTATATAATAATTTCCTTTAAATAATAGTTCTGACTCTTAATTATAAATGCTGGAGAGAGGATTGGGGTTGAAAGGCTAATGAAGAATCTCCCTCGCTGTTGTATTTCCTTCTGTTAGCGTGCTAATTAAAAAACATTTTTGCATTGCCCTAGTGCACACTGACTGCTAGTAAACAAAAGAAACCTTAACCTACTGGGAGACTGCGAGAATGCTGTGCGTGAGCCTCACACCATCTAACAGGGACTAACCATGTCTCCAGAAAACACTGATACCGCCTTGAGAGGACCCCGCCACAGGTGCAAGACACCTGGCTGTTTAAGATGCCGACGCTGGCTCGTGAACAGGGCGTGGGGTGACTACCTGACCAAAAGGATGGGGCTGTGGTTTGGGGTTTTTGTTTTAAACCTTAGCTGAATTATTTCAACCACAATCGTGAGAGAGGGTTTTCTAGCCCAGCATTTTCCATTTCCATGAGACTCTGGCTATTGCTGCCTGTGCCACCCCAGGTTGATTTCCTTTCCAAGCCACACTCACCCCTCGGGAGGAACCAGGACCAGAGCCCTGGGCCGGTCGAGCACAGAGGAATTGACGATGGTGAGTCGGAAGTTGCCATCCGGATTCGCGACCTGACAGAGAGGGAGGGGGAAAGCTGCAATGGAGCTGAGCTCCTGACAAGAGCCACAAGGCAAGTCTCCTGCCATGATGCCCACACCCACGTGCCTCCCCTGCCAGATACGCCTGGGAAACTTGGCCCTGAACTTCCCTCCTCTGGCTGCAGTGATTTTCACATGGTCTGACACAGGGACTCTGGGGGCATGATGATTAGCGCTAAGTAAGTGCTCATGCGTGTTTACTTATCTACCCCACCCAGGTTACTTCATGTAACAAGCCCCCGATGGCTCTCTGCTTTCCACACACGAAGCCTGACAGTGCGGCTCCGTCTCCAGAGCCTGGGCCCCTGTCCTCTCCCCGCTCGCTGGTCCTCTTGTATTGGCCGTGTCTGGTGCTCGCTCTCCTGTCTGCTCTTGCCACTGAACCCAAGCTGCCTATCCCCACTGTCCTCTCTAGTCAAATCTTATCTTCCCTCGAGACTTCCTCCAGGCCCGCCACTTTGCACACAGTGCATGAGCTGGAACTTGCCTCACCACAAGTCTGAGAGAAAGCAGAAATTTAAGCTCGGCCTGCATCCTCCTAGTGCCTGCAGAGGGCTGGCCACACTTAGGGAACAGTGAGAAATGGCAGCCACAGGACCACCAGCTCACACCCAGGCACGCACGCTGCCCCTTTCCACCCACTTAGTTCGACATCCACAAGGTGACCACTATTAGCAGCCTCACCTCACCTTTCTACTGTCGTCCCTGCTCTCCAACCACATCCTCAGTGGCGACTGCACTATCATCAGCAGAACCAGTTTATTTCTTTAGTGCCCTGCTTCCACCGTGGGGCTGCCTATTAAGCATTGAGCTATTAACCGAAAGGTCAGACGTTCAAACCGACCAGCCCCTTTGAGGGAGAAAGAGGAGCTTGGTTGCCCCCGTAGAGATTTATCGTCTCAGAAACCCTATGCCAGGGGGCCGTGAGGTAACAGTGACCGATGGCAGTAGGTTTGCTTTCCCCATAAAACCTACCGCCAACAGAAGAGGAACTCATCTGGCCTGCCTCCTGCTTTGTCACCCAACCCAAAGAGCGCATCTGGCCCATACCAGGCATTCAAAAGGCACTTAGTGAATGAGAGGACAAATGAATCTTCATGTGATGGATGAGGCGGAGGAACCTGGGAGAGAGGAAGGAACTAGTCTGATGTCATCGGGCTGGCACGGGACGGGCCAAAGCCAGGACCCTCTCTCGACTGGGCCTTTGGTCTGTCAGAGCCCAGCTCGGCTGTCTGTGGCTCGTGGCTCCTAAGTGCTTTCTACTTCGCCTGGGCTGCAGTCGCTGGATGGCAGGTCACCAGACAGAGGTGTCCAGGCCTGGCCTAGGGGCCGCAGTAGTCACTTGCAAGAGTTGGGTGCACCTTAATTACCGAGGTCAGTAATTTTGGTGTTTAAAACCCAATGCCATCGAGTGCATTCCAACTCATAATAAACCACGTAGCACAGAGCAGAACTGCTCCTTAGGGTTTATAAGACCGGAAATCCTTCTCCCAGAGAATCGCTGGTAGATCTGAACCGCTGGCCTTGTGGTTAACAGTCCAGTGTTTAACACCTGTCCACCAGGCCCCTTTGGATGGGTTTAGGAGGCGTTTACTACCCTCCTGTAACATGAGGGATGCAAAGGAGAAGTGGGTACTCGGTAACTAAGCTCTGTCAGGGTGAACTAGGAAAAACAAAACAACATACACCTCCCAGAGTCGCTCTGAGAGTGAAGCAGGTAGGTCTTTCAATCAGTGGGTCACAACCCCTGTGGGGGTCCAAAGACCCTTTCACAGGAGTCGCCTGATTCACAACAGTAGCAAAATTACAGTGATGAAGTAGCAACGAAAATAATTCTATGGTTGGGGGGGTCACCACAACATGAGGAACTGTTTTAAAGGGCCATGGCATGAGGAAGGTTGAGAACCACTGCTTTAATGGACCCAACAGGATTTGCAACAGAGTTTGGTACATAGTAAGTCCCAGCCATCATTGATATTAATGATGACAACACTGTAATATTATGTAGTGGTATCACATTACAACAGTACTACTGTATTATAGCATTATTACAATACTACATTATTATTACCAAAGCATCTCGAATATACAATACTACACTATGTATTTTATAAGACTCCAGTATTATAGATCAATTCTATGATGGTATCATCATCATTATTGCTGTGATTCTATGCTCTGCTGGCCCATGGCCCAGCTTCCAGATATCTGGGTGGAATCTGGTGGCTGGGTGTGAGCGATCTGTCCTCGTTTGGGGCCTCTGTGGCTGTGAGCAGTCATTCTGCCCCTGCCCCTTCTTCGTCTACCCGCCAGACTCAGCCAGCTCGTTCTCCGAAAACTCCCTGAGCCTTTCAGAATCAGCGACCACATTGGCTATTGCCTCTACCATAGCTGGCGTCAAGGCCAGGTGCTCCCCCCCTCTGCTTCAGTACAGACAGCACAGGAACGCACATACCTCGATCTTTTTAAAGCCAGCGTCCACCCAGTAAAGCAACTGGCTGAGGGGTTCAAAAGCCAAAGCTTCGACTGTCTCCAGGCCGGAATTGATGATGACCTCTTGCCCCGTACTCCCGTTCAAGCAGAGGCGCTGGAGAGGGAAAGAATGACGCAGCCGTCAGCACTCGGCTCAGGGTAACCTTTACTAACGGGGGGATGGGCAAAGGATGAGATGTCACACACTAGTAAATTTCCAGGTGTGAACTGTGTTTTCCAGTGGTAAGCCAAACCGAACCATTTCGATCCCTCTTATCATTATGAATGCAGGCTTGTGCTGCTTCACCATGAAGGGGGCAGAGATGATGGAGATGTACGTGCTTGTAAAATAAAGGACATCAGACTGTCGCTGCGTTCCGTTCTCGTACCTGCTCGATACCGTATTTCCTCGTGGGTGAACCAACTTTGCTTCAGAGGTCAGCACCGCCCCTGCCCGTGCCCTTCCCCCGCGGGGTCAAGCATTCTACAACTGCTCTGGGGGGGGAGTCTAGACAAAACCTGTTGGATGGCTTTTATGAAAGGGCAATGAATAAATGTCGATTAGCTCTCCTTGAAAATGTGTGAATTTAAGCGCAGGGATGGATAACTAGCTGTTTGTCCAGGGATCTTTACACTTTACTTCCTAATTCTTGTCAGTGTTCCGCAAAGGTGACAGGGACCATCAGGTGAAGGAACAGTTAAGTCAAGCCCCATTCCCATATCAGCTTGTAAGGAAGGTGCTCAATAGGCAGGTGGTACAATAGGGATGACTAATAATCACCCATTAGATAACCCAGGAGGAAAATTGGCACCTCCCTAGTAAGCAAGACAAGAGACTGAAGTCTCTTTGTTCTCACTACACGGACAGCGATGGAGAGGGGAGAAAAGCATGACGCCAGAAGCGGAAGAAGCTTCCTCAGTGAGCCCCAGACAAGTCTTGATTTACAACCCCCTCGCTAACCATCTCCTTAGGTCATTCGGAATGGTGTCTACCAGCACCAGACGCTCAGGCGAGGATGAGCAGAGGGCATGGCCCTCGGGGCAGACAGGTGGCTGACTCACCTGGATCATATCCAAGGCCAAGTCCGACCAGTATAAGCAGTTGTGCTCATAGTCAAAGTCCAGGGCCATGGCTGCCCGCAAGCCGGTGAGAGGCAGCTGCTCGGTGGCTCCTGAGGCTAAGTCATAGCGGTGGATGGACTTCCGCATGGCATAAAGCATGAACTCGTTCTCCTCTGTACAGACAGATGGGCAAAAGGTAAGTTGGGCCCAGGAGTGCTTACCGAGTCCTAGCATGACTGATCAGAGGTCTGTAATGGAATGACTTTTTTTGAGCAAACGACTTACACTTCTGGGCATGGGTTTCAGCTTTCCTGGTTTTATCTACACCGGCCAGCAGGCATGCTCCAACAGCTAAAGTGCAGAGCTTGGCCAAAAATCTTCCAGGTCACACTTGTCAACATATTCATGCCAAACAGCAGGTCCTCGCCCATCTCAGGGCTTCTCACCCAGCCACCTATCCTTTTGACTAGAGAACCTTTAGTCCCAGGAGACTTGTAACTCGGTCTTCCAAACTACTAAATAATGTCCTCTTATTCAACACTGTTCACAATGACATCTGGCAAGTAGATTGACCTATCAGATTTTCAATACAGTAATACCACATTTGTCCTTGATTACTTACAAAATGTGTTACAATCAAGTTGATTCTGACTTAAAGGCTATAAATCTTTCCGGGCCACAGAAAAGCCTCATTTTCCCCCCACAGAGTGGCTAGTGGGTTCAAACTTCTGACCTTGAAGTTAGCAGCCCAATGTATATCCCCATTGCACCACCAGAGACCCTCATAAAGATCCTCTCAGAAAATCTCATAGCCCTCCAGTAGATTCCGAGTCACAGTGTTCCCATAGGGCGGGACAGAAATGTCCGTGGGGTTCTGGACTGCAACTCTTTATGAGATTAGAAAGCCTCATCTTTCTCTTGCAGAGACACCGGTGGTTTCAAACTGCTGACCTTTTGGTGAGATGCCCAACATGTAACCACTACGCTACCAAAAATACTTAACAAAGGCTTAAATAATGTACTTAAAATGTACTAGGCATTGTTTAATCCACATAAAACTAAATGATGTAGAAACTATGTGGTAGTTACATAATTTCATGTCAACTTGATCTATAAACGTGTACAGGGTTGGAGTCTAGCCTGTCAATCAGGTCACACAGCCTGATGGTACCTCCTGTGGACATGACCTTCTCAGAAGGAGGGCCCTGCGAGCCTCTCTCTCCCTCTCTGCCTCTCTCCCTCTCTGCCTCTCTCTCTCTCTGCCTTCACCTTCCTGCTGGCTGACCCTGGTTGCTGCAAGCCCTGGATGTGGCCACCACCACTGGAGCCACACAACTTTGCACCCACTGGCCTGTGATCCTCCTGCATTCTGCAGCACTGCAAGTGGTTGTGTGAGTCTGAAGAGGGACGTATGGATTAGTATCAGTCTTATGGACTAGTATTGGACTTAAGGACTTGATCTGGACTGGGCTGGGCTGTTTGCTTGATATACATAATTACTTCTTGATATAAATTTCTCTTACACATATATAACTGTCTCTTGGATCTGCTTCTCCAGTCACCCTGGCCTAACACAAACTGTCCCACATCAGAAGAGTGAAAGCAGTACAGTTCAGTAAGTCACCCCAGGTCACACAGCTGAGGAGTGGCCATTTGAACCAGGCCGTCTATCTTTGACAGACTCAAGGGTCTACTTTAACCACTGTACTATGTTGGTTAGTATTACTTGTAACATAAATACTAATGATGTTGCTGCCATTTAAAAAACTGTATAAAGTGAGGCCCTGCATCTTAAAATATTTATCTAATGTCAGACAGCCATACTCTTAATCTCACTCTTCTACTTTAAGAATGACCTGAAAACACACACAGATCCTTCCAAGAGAGTGGAGCAGAGCAGAACGCCAGCATGTACTTCTTCTTCTTTTTTTTTTTATCTTCAGCATTTTCTTGGGAGCTCTTACAGATTTCATAACATTCCATAGTTCAATCACATCAAGTAGTATTGTACACCTGTTACCACAATCAGTTTCCAAAAATGTTCTTTCTTCTTGAACTCCTTGATATCAGCTGGCTTTTATCCCCTCCCTCTCCCCTACCCCCCCCAAGAACCCTTTTATTATTTTCCCTTTAATAGTTGTTTGTTTGTTTGTGCCTATCTTACACAACCCAATACACCCATTAACACACAATTCTGTGGTTTGATCCCATCAAGTTGAGTTACACAGTCATCAGTGCTACCCCCCTCTTCCCACACCCTCAGGGAACCATTACTCCTGGTACTGTTTTTGAAGGGTTATCTCTCTTGGGTTTCATTTACCAAACAATCTTAAATATACAAATGAACATATGTAAATCTAACGTGACTAATGAGGCAAGACAAATACAAAGCATAATAGTAAGGGGAGGAAATATTAAAGCACTAGAGGATAGTTACGTGGTTCATCAGTGCTCTACCGCACCCTGGATTTATCATCCCTTCTGTGAGGCCCTTCTGAGAGGGACTGTCCCATTATCTTACAGGTGGATTTTGGATCTCCACAACATCCACGGCCCTTCACATCTGTTTGGTTGCCTGTTTTTTAACTTCTGATACTTCTTCCTGTCAACACCTCATGATCACACAGGCTGGTGTGCTTCTTCTATGTGGGCTTTGTTGCTTCCCTGCTAGATGGCTGCTTGTTTAACTATAAGCCTTTAAGACCCCAGACATTATCTCTTTTAATTACTGGGAACCATCAGCTTTCTCTTTTTTGGTTTGTTTGTTTACTTGTTTTCTTTTTTAAAAACTAATTTTATTCTGAGCTCATAGAGATATTATAACATTCCGTAATCCATAGATCACACCTACAATGAATGCTTTCAGACCATTAAGCAAGGCTGTGGATAATCTTGCCCTCGCAATCGTGCACTGTGCCTTGGGGAGTGCATTGCCTCCACCCTTCTCTGGCCAGCCAGGGAGGGGCAGTTTCCTCCAGCAGCTTGCCTAGGTGTCTCCTTGGTGGAGGTCACCGTACTGGTCACACAGTCGTGAGGCCGTGCCCTATCAGGCTTGCCGTGACCGCCTTGGTTGGAGGGTCCAGACCAATCTTGTAAGTTCTTTTGTCTAACAAAATGTATGTGTCCCAATCATGGTCATGTCCCTGCTTCTGTAGCCCCACCTGTAACTGTCAGGTATTGATCTGCCACCAAACAGGCTTCTGTGACAGCTGCCTCTGCCCGCTCATGCCTATTTTAAAGCTTTGTATTTCAACAAGGACCCTTGGTGGTATAGTGGTTAAGCATTGAGGTATGGTCTGCAAGGTCAGCAGTTTGAAACCACCAGCTGCTCCACAGGAGAAAGACGGGCTTTCTACTCCTGTAAGCAATTATTGTCTCGAAAACTCACTCACTGTCTATAGAGCAGTTCTACCAGGTCCTATAGACTCACAGTCACTGGACTATGAGCCTGTCTTGAATCAATGGCCGTGTTTGTTTGTTTGTTTGTTTGTTTGTTTGTTTGTTTGTTTGTTTTGGTATCTCAATACACTCTTTTAACCTCCCTCACCCGGATGGTGTATCTGTGTCTTTGTCTCTTTTAAGGCTTAATACGTGTTTTCTTTAAGCTATATTTGAGATGGGGTCTCTTTTGTACCCCAAAACAACCATGTTGCTGCTTACTGGCCCAGTGAAGAGGATTTGTATTTTCTGTATGTGGCGGTGCAGCATGTAGTCGAAGACCTTCATCAGTAAGTGCTCCAAGTCTTCCTCACTTTCCGCAAACAAGGCCGTATCACCTGCGTATCTCAAGTTGTTAATGATCCTCATTAGTCCTACTGAGCCATCTCTTGCTCTCTTGCCGCATCCCAGTCTTCTATCCCATGCTCTTTTTTTTTTTTTCCTTTTTAACATTTAGGAGGCGGCCCAGGCTGCAAACGAGATTTTTCCACTTCATTTCCTGTTCTATCTCTTATCAGAGGAGAAAATAGCATTCCTGCCAGTTTTGACTTCCTTAAACAAAGTCTTTTGTCCCTAGCTGAGCTTTCTCCAGAAATATTTATTACAAAAAGTATGCACTCCAGCCCCCGAAGAGCCATCACTCAAACCCAACGGACCCGGGTCCTCATCAATAACAGCTCTTCTGAGGGGACTACTTAATATTATCTGCTCGCTCATTTGTAGGAATCTGCTGAAACTGTGTTCTTCTGAAGTCTCCACAGTGAGGTAAGTTAATTACTCTGGTAATGATGGGAGATTAAATTAAAGGACTAATGAGCTTAGTATGAAAAACACCCAGGCAAGCTGGCGCACAGTGGGCAAACGAGAGAGCTGCTCTTCCCTGCCTGCAGGAATGACGTGCTGCTGCCACGCTTCCCGGGGGCTTCCACGAGACACCACCTTCTCACACCAATCCGCGCTCACCTGCACTGCGGGGCAGGGACAGGGGTGAATGGGCAGAGCAAACACAGGAGCTCTACATGAATGAAGGCTACAAGCAGTGGAGGAGGAGAAGATGCTACACGCTTCAATTGTTTAGCTGCCAGAATTTTGTGGCTCTGTTGCAAACACCTCACTGGGCTACATCACTACTGTGTCAACTGGGAGCCCATGTGGGGCATGCCAGGCCCCATTGCTAAAGGCTCCGTGCTGCAGGTAGGTCCAGAATGAACACTGAATCCCCTGGCTACGCGCCCAGATTCATGTTGTTGTGTTTGTTTCGCTCCCTCTCATTCCGTGATTTCAGTGAGTCAACAGACACTGACCCAGACAGACAAAAGACCAGCGGCCGTCTTGTGCGTTTGGATTTCTGGCGGCCTTGTGTGCTTCCAGGTCCTCGTGTGTGCTGCCGGGTAGACCTGTGCCACGCAGGGCTTTCACCGGTGCGACATGGCTGAAGCTGACAGCCAGGCTGGCCTTCTTTCCTCAATGCAGGCTTCAGGGCAGACTGGATTGGGCATCCAACCACAGACCCATCTGAATTTGTCATGAAGACTCTGATCTCACTGCACTGCAAACACTCTACCAACCCTCAGCAAGCACCACCCCTTTTATGATGTGTGATTGCTTCAAGGATTTTCCCCCCCTTAATTAGCAAGCACAACGATGGTCTGAAATCATGGAAATGACACTTACTTGCCATTTGAATCATGTCCAGCTTAAAGCTCAGACTGAGAACCTGAAGTTTCCCTTGTTCAGTTAGTAGATATGTGACCTTAATTAAGTTTTCTAACCTTCTCCTCTGAGCACGTTTCTTCACAGAGGGGTGGAAAATCAGAGCTGATAAGAAGCTGCTTTTTAAAAAAGCGAGAGCTGATAATAAGCTGATAAAAAAAATTAGAGCTGATGCTTCGCTGGGTTTGTTCAAAGTAGGAAATTAGCAATGCAATGCTGAAGTACATTAAAGTCTGTAAAATTCCACCAAAAAAGGTAGTTACTATGATGATGATAAAATTAAGATAGATCACTTAGCTACTTCCCAAGAAGCCACACGCATGTTCACATTCTACTCTGACAAGCAGATCAAGGAACAGTCAAAGACCTTTAGACAACCCTCAGTCCCCACCCCTAGCAGAAAAAGACAAGGTTTCCATAAACAGTAACTGAACTGATGTCCAGCTTTTCTATTCCTATTAATGTGCACCGTTCTAAATAAGCTTGGTTTGATGCCAAGCTTTGGAGATGCCTGTGAGCTTCCATTAAGTTAGAAGCGCCACCAGCCTGGAGTTGGGTGATCCTTTGATGGCACGTGAAGGTGCCAAAGGGAAGACAAGCCCTCTCTTACCTGCTAGTGGGCAGGGGACCAGCTCTCCCTCCAGCCGGGCTTCCACATCCCCACCACTACAAGTATCCCCAGAGATCTTCCGGTAACTGTCAAACAAAGGACAAGAGGTCAGACACATCACAGAACAGTCATTCTTTGAAGGCACCCCGACTGGGGACATACTTCCTACCATGGGAAGTAGATTCCACCTGTTCATGTCTGCATCAAACTAGAGGTATGCCTTGGTTCCATGTAGCATTAGACTAGGCAGGTGTAGGCAATCGGGGCACTGAATTCTTAACCTAGCTCTTCAGCAAACTCCTCTGAAGATGTGGATGACAAGATACGCTGAGAGTTGCCAAGAACTTTATAGATGTGCAGTTTTGATTTTCCTCACCAGGGGCAAGAGAGTTTGCAAACACAGGAATTCTAAAATGTTGCTTCAAGCATTTGAAAGGTGCTAACTGGGAACTGCAGAATGTAGAGCAGGAAGGCCAGCTGGGTGGCCGCTGGTCTCTGGCCACAGGAGCGCCCTCACAGTCCCGGATTTCTGGTCCTTAAGTAGCCCTGACCGTCACTGTCCCTCTGTGCCTCCAGTATACAACTTCAGCAGCAGGTGCTAACGGCTGCCCTTGTTCAGCTGTCAAAACCTGCCCAGGAGCAATGACACCTTCCAGAACCATTCTTAGCAATTGAACTGCATCTGGAGTGGGCAGAGAAAGAACCCTTTCAAACCCCACAGGAAGGCCAGGGAGACCTTCAGTTCAACCTGGAAAGGGGCAACAGGCTACACCGGAAGCCTCAACAAGCATGTGTGGAGTAACAGGGCCCAGCAACCATGCAAATGGAGCAGCCGCCTCCCAGGATCACAGCCCGCTGAGGGCCGATTCTCCTTCCAGGTCCAGTGCTTGAGGAGGAACAGGTAGACAAGTCTCGGTGTGGATGAAAACGAGGTCTTTCCCTTTCGTAACTACGAGTGCACTGTTGAGTACAAGAAGGCACATACCAAAAAACCCACACTCGCCACCACCACGTCCACGCTGACTCCTAGCACCCCCTGTGGTCTCTGAGACCGTAACTGTTGATGGGCGTAGAAAGCCCCGTCTTTCTCCCGAGGAGCTGCCGCTGGTGGTTTCGAATGGTTGACCACACAGATCAGAGCCCAACGTGTAACCACTCCACCAAGGCATATTCAAGGGAGGAATAAGACACTGAGACTGACCCTCAAAACTATGAAAATCAGGTTTGGCCCACACTGTAGCACCCCATAGTCTCAGGTAGCTGCAAATTTACCAAGTCACCTGAAACCCTCAGCCTGGCCATGAACAGCACAAGGAGAACTTGGCTATGACTTCCCAGGATGCCTGGAAAGTCCTGAGGAAGAAAGTCCAGACAGTGACCCTTTGGGATTACAGAGGGGTCCTGGGCAAGCTTAGTAACCTCAGCAGACATCAGTGTTGAGAGGGGTGGTTTGCCTGGCCCGCCTCCCTCTTTGCTCACACTAAGGGTCTCTGGAAAGATGGAAGTCAGAAATACATAGCACACACTTAAAAAGAAATCAGAGTACTACGTGTGGCCTCCTCTCTGGGGGACGGGCAGCGGAGGGGTGGGTGAAGGGAGACGCCGGACAGTGTAATATAAGATACAATAATAATTTATAAATTATTAGGGGTGCATGGGGGAGAGGGGAGGAGGAAGGGAAGGGGAGGGGGGAAAAAAGGAAAATTAGAGGCTAGCAAATTTTGGGAATGATGAGGGCAACAAATGTATAGATGTGCTTTACACAATTGATCTATGTATTGTGATGAATTGTATGAGCCCCAATAAATTGATTAAAAAAAAAAAAAAAGAAATCAGAGTAAAATGATAGAGTGTTGTTAACAACGCAGGAGCCCTGGTACATGTGTTGGACTGATAACTCCAAGGTTGGCAGTTCAAACCCAACAGCCACTCCGAGGGAAAAGAGGTTGTCTGCTCCCATAAAGATGTACAGCCTCAGGAATGATACACAGAATTGTGGGGAGTTGGAATCAACTTGATGGCAGTGGGTTTATTAACAGTGGCACTGTAACTAACCACAGCAGTGCTACCCCACTACACCTGCTAAACAGAATGGGATTCCCAAGGTAAAAGAGGATATATGTTAAAGGCAAGTTTAGGGATTATGCCCAGAGCACCAGCAAAGCAGAGACCAACACAGAGTAAACAAACGGATGACTGCGTGCAAACCATGAGACGTGGGGACTTCCGTGGTACGCACCCTCGAGTTCTCCTGTACGTAGAACCCACAGGACACGGCACAGGAGGAGAAAAGGATGTCCCAGAAAACTCGGGATCTGGAACACAGACTTCTAACGACAAGTCTTCACTCATCTTGAAGCCAAAGTCACTGAAAAGGCAACGAAGTTTGTCAAGTTAGTATCTCGTGTTCTTCACACATTTCCGCGCCAACACGTGGGCTTTCTCTTAAAGCACTGCATGCTGCCTGCATCTTCATTTCCTTAGCATGTGCCTATACAGAACATTCCTTTTTTGCACTACGTTTTCAAACGGCATTTTCTAGCAGAGCCACAGTTGGATCCAGCCAGGCCTGGGCGGGGGAGAAAGACCCTTCATGAGATGTACTGGCCCAAGAGCTGCAACGGGCTTCGGGGAACCTGAAGACCCAGGACCGGGCAGCGCTGTACTCTGTTCTTCGGAAGGTCAACATTGAGTCAGAAAGGACGGGATCGCAGTGACCCCGGTGGCCGTAAAGAGACAAAAAAATGATCAATCATTAGACCAAAAACCAATGTTAAGTTTTTACTAGATCTGATTTCCTGTCCAAAGACTCTTGATCTCCCGAGGTTGTTAAAATGAATTAGCCAGTGATGGAGTTAAAGACTAGCGGCATCCAACAAGACCTCCTTCTTGATGGCATCAGAACTAAAAGAGAAAATTTTTAAATAACTTTAAAAAAATGAAGGCTGCTATATGATACCATGTCTGCATACTACCTGGAAATTCAACCTTGGAAGTCTGCATTTTGGAACATACTGGTTTGTCCGCAAGGCCTTCTACGATCTGGGGCCGTGTTGCCACCAAAGCTCATAGCTCAGCAGGCAGTGGCCTGGAGTAGAGGGCAGGAGGCCCGAGTCTAGTCTCAGGGCCACCTGTCACTGCACCCAGGCCTCTCTAAGTCATACTGAGAACTCTAACCAAGGTAACAGGGCCATATGCATGTGAGGTCCGGGCCAAGCCCTGGATCCTATCATTCAAAGGGACTTTCTTCACAGATACGCTCCACCCCCCAGGAAGGCTGCATTTGCTCTGCTGCACTCAGTCCAACGATTACTTTTTAAATGTTAACTATATGCAAAGCATTAACAGACATAGGGCAAAGTAGCTTGGATATATTAGATCACAATCTCATTAAATAAATTTTTAGAGACTTGTTCAAAGGAAATGTTTTACTCCTGAATCAAATGGGTCCCACTCATTCAATCAGTTAATTTTTGCTGAATGTCTGCTTTAAGTCTTTGGGGGACAGTAAGTGGGGCATTAGCTTCTTTGCCTCCACTAAGCAAAGTATCTTTCTAAACAATTCTTCAGATGTAGGGAATGACCTAGTGGACTGAGAAAGTCAGCTGACCAGATTCTCTCCCCACCCCACCCCACAGAGCAGTATGTGGCAAAATGTATCACACTGCAGAGTAAAGGTTGGGGGAGGGGGAGGGGAAGGGTCACAATATGAAATTCATCGCTTCCTGGGGGTTGCAGTCAAGTGTTTCCAGTGACGTTTCTTGGCAATGCAGAGAACTATAAAGACGTATTTGTATACCTCTTTGCAAATCAAACAAAGTGCCCCCTGGAAGTCAGAGAATGTACGCTAGTGCATGTGGTAAATGCAGCCGCAAACCAAAAGGCTGGTGGTTTGAGTCCATCCAAAAATACCTCCGAAGCAATGCCTGGCAATCTACTTCCAAAAACCCAACCACTGGAAACCCCTTGGGGCACAGTTCTACGCTGACAAGCATGCCGCTACCCAGAGTCTAAATCAACCCCAAAGCTGTGCGCCAGTGTGACCCCAAAGGGCGGTCAGAAACAGCAGTTACCCTTCAGAATCTGAACTAAGGGATTCGAATGCACACGCCCTTCGTTTGCCTTTTCTCCCCTCTTTCCTTCTTTGGACCATTCCCCTTCTCATTGCCACAGTCCAGTCCCACCAAACATTTCCCAAAACCAAGCACTGGCGTGCGGCTGGCTCCTCTAGCAGCTGCCGCACACAGAGCAGCCGTAGCAGGATGGCCTGACGCCCACCCAGCCGTCTGTGTCTCACACTCTCACCAGGCCTGCAGCCAGCGCTGTGGAGGGGAGGACAGGTGGTCCCCTGCTCCACAACCCACAAGGCTCACCACACATAACAGAGACAGGCCCCAGTGAGCTTCCAGGAGTCAGACGGGCTAGGGAGGGACAGACACGTGGGAGTCAGACCACAGAGGAGGTACTAAAGGGTCATCACTGGGAACCTCAAACAGCTCTGTGGGTTTTGCCGTTAAGGCACCAAAGCTGTTACCGTGGGACACACTGCTGCCTGAGGAAACCAGAGCCAGGTGGGGTCTCTAGGCTTGCTACTCAAAGGGCTAGTTTGCAGAAAAGCAGCCTTCACAACACCTGGGAGTCTCTCACGTGCCCTTGTGGCACAGTGGTTAAGGATTGGGCAGTTCAAAAGTGGGCAGTTCAAAATCACCAGCCACTCCATGGGAACAGATGGGGCAGTCTGCTTCCGTAAAGATTTAGACTTGGAAACCCCACAGGGCAGTTCTACCTTGCCCTAGACCAGTGGTTCTCAACCTGCTAATGCCATGGCCCTTTAATACAGTTCTTCATGTTGTGATGACCGCCCCAACCATAAAATTATTTTTGTTGCTACTTCATAACTGTAATTTTGCTACTGATATGAATCGGGTAACCTCTGTAAAAGGGTCGTTCGACCCCCAAAGGGGTCACGGCCCACAAGTTGAGAACTGCTGCCCTAGACTGTGAGTCAGAATCAAGGAGCTGGTGGTGGGTTTTAAGGGCGCACACTGCATCAACTGCTGCAGCTTCCCCAGATTACAGCCCTCACAGCTCACGGCATGGATTTGAGAACTAAGTGGAGGACCCAATGTAAAAAGTGTCTCACTCAGTTCCTGGTTCATAAAGGACGCTTTCCCTCCCCTGGGGAAGGGCCCGGGCCCCAGTCAGTGCAGACCCAACCCAGCCAGAGCATCAGGAGGACGAACCATTCGTAGTCCTCCCGGGAGCAGGAGCAGTTGGACACCACCACAGGCCTGTCGAAGTCTTCGCCATTAAAGCACGTGGCGTGGGGGATCCTCCGCTTGAAAACGGTCCTGTGTCCTAGCAAGCACTCGTGGCCCCGCTCGTCAGAGGGGGACCACAGCTTGTAGTCATTCTCTGTGCAGGGGACCCCTGAGGAAATAGAGACATGGTGGGAAGGATTAGATGCCGGCTTCCTTTTGGGTTTCCTGTCCTGCCCATTCCCTCAGCCCAGTGCCCACTCCCTGTCTCTCTTGCTGCTGCCCAGTGAGGGCATGGACCTAATCTGGTTAGAGGGCGCCCTGGAGCCACGCCAAACCCTGGGAGCAGCCCGCAGCACAGGGGCGGCCAGAGGACCTCATGCAAATGCCTAGCAGCAAGGTTCATCTGAGAGACCGAAAAGTAAGCCAACTTCCGGCAGAGACGAGACGTCTGAGACATCTTAGGAATCAGTAGTTTCCTTTAAAAACAGGCACCCAGAGCAGTTCTGTCTTAGGGAGTTGGGGAGAGGTCGACTGCTTGCCAGACGGCAGCACTCCGGAATGCTGTTCCCTGCCTGCCCCCTCCTCCCCCAACCCTTGGGCAGTGCGGGCACCTCGGGTGGCAAGGTGTCAGGGGGCCATTAGGAAGTTCCCCCTCTCAGTGCTGAAAGCACAGGGTTTTCACCGACGGAGGCTGAGAGACAGTCCGGCCCTCTGGCACGACCGCTCTTATCAAACCACATTCATTCAAAGCTCCGCAGCTGCCACAGGAATTCCCAAACTCCCCTGTGCCCGCTTGCTGTCCACCTTACATCTCTCTCCAGTCAGGTTCAAACCTTCCCAGAGCCGATGACCAGCAGCTGTGAATGCAACTCCGCTCCAAATACCTACCAAACTCTTTCTGACCACTGGAGTACCAGGATGTCTAGCGGGTGGACTAGACACATCCACAGGAAAGGACCGCACAGTCCAGCTGATGGGGGACGGGACCCACACCCACACTCATCACCCGTGGCAGGGCAGCGCTCCGGAGTATGCATGTGGCAGGCAGAGAGAAGACAGTGTCTTCTAGCTGCGATTACCAGCATCTGCATTGGACCCTGGGGACAATGTCGCTAAGTGGAGACTGACTGGGTGGGATAGGGGAAGGTACAGGGGGCCTTCGAGGCAGCGAAGGTCATGTGAGCCCAGGCCAAGAAGCTAGCAAAGGCAGGGGACCATGGGGGTAGGGGGCCGAGTACTTTCACTTCTCCCTGCTTACTTACATGTCTGGTTCTGAACTAGCAGACAGTGACGGGGACCCAGACAGCTCTCAGAGGGCCTGCATCACGAGGGGCCCCCGCCTTCGCCTTGCACAGAACTGATGCCCACTGAGCTGGGCAGCTTGGAACTGCTGGTGGGGAGGCATGTTGTACATGCCTTCGTGCACTCACAGATTCAGCTGACAGGTATTTCCACATAGCTGTACCGAGGATTGCAGCAGGGAGTGGAGATGCAAAGACTAACAGAGTCCTAGGAAGAGGACTCACCCAAGTGCGCCGCCACTGGCCAGGCAGGATGCCACCTCCAGTGACTCCGACTGGGATAAGTGCACAGTAGGGAGGCGGATTCTCTGCACACAGTAGGAAGTTTATAAACGTCCACGTGCACTAAGCCAAGGAGGCCGGAGCTTACCCAAGGCATCGGTAGCATTGACCTGGAGGATGAGCCAGCTGTGGACATTCTCTTTGTTGGAGCCAAAGATGGTGAAGACGGTGCTCTTCTCCCCAGGCTCGGTCAGGAGGCCATACACAAACACCGGCCTCTCGGAGAAGAGGAACGTTGTCCAGGTCTCCCCTTCATTGGTGCTGTACCTGCCCAGAGGCAAATCAGAGGAGCCGTGAGTTACAGTTCCCAGGTAACACAGGTCCTGGGGCAAATGGCTGAGCCTGGGCCAGCTCGTGCAGCTTCCTGGAGCCTCGCTGGAGCCCTGGTGGCACAGTGGTTACACGTGCTCAGGGACCACAGTGTCCGCTCCAGAGGACACAGAGCCAGCAATGGCGCTCCAATCCAACTGGCACATTTGGAGAAATATAAACATAAAAACAAAAAAAAGAATGACGATGTTAGTGTGTTCTGCTTTCTTTTCCGTTTCATTTTGTTACTGGGTTTTGTTTTTGTTGTTTTGCTTTTTGGTTTTGTATGTTTCTCTGGATATGAAATCTAGGATAGGTAAAGCCACAGAGACATTAACTGGATGAATGGTTTCTTGGGGATAAGGCAGGGAACGTTGGCGGGGAAATGGGAAGCTGATAGTGCTGAGCACAAGAAAGAAGAAAACGTTCTAAAATTGATTGTGGTGGTGACTGCACAACTCTTTTCAATGTCTGAACTAATGAACTGTGTGATAGGCAAACGGTGTGTCAATAAAACTGGGTCTTGAATAATGCGAAAGAGAGAGCGGTAGGGGAGGGAAGAATGATGCGAAAGAGAGCGGTAGGGGAGGGAAGTGCTTTTCTAATATTGGAATGTCACCTAATAAATGTTGGGAGCAGGGAGAATGAAACTATCCCTCTGTGGCCCACGACGTAATAATGAAATCATAGAGGCCCGCCCATCAGATGCTAAGACACTGGATCCAAGATTGCTGGGGACCAACATTCTCACATGGTCTACAGCGCAGGTTCCCAATGTATTTGGCTTGCAGTCCCTTTTTCAGAAAACACACAAATTTACTAAGTTCCACCCGCCTGGAATTTTAAAACATTTGTACTATAGCCCACCATCCTGGGAAAAGTGTAGGCATCTGCTCTCGAAGCCTCCTGGAGCCTCTTTGGAGCCCTGGTGGCACAGTGGTTACATGTTGGGCTGCTGACCACAAGATCGGCAGTTCAAGACCACCAGCCGCTCCACAGGAGAAAGACAAGGCTCTCTGCTCCCGTCGCATACAGTCTCGGGAACTCACAGGGGCAGTTCTACCCTATCCCATGGGGTCACTGTGAGTTGGCATTGACTCCATGGAGTGAATTTGGATTTTTTGGGGGTCATTCTAGCACCCCCAGGGGGGCGGTATTACTCACTTTAAGAGGCACTGGTCTAAACCTATGGACCTACAAACAAACTATTCACCACAAAGGGGCTGATGCAATGGTGCCGAGCCAAGATCCTTAGCCAAACTTAGCATCCCACCAACAGGGGGACATGCTGACATCATGGGCCTCCTAGGTAAGCACTGATAATAATACAGGGTCTGTGTAATCTTCAATACAAGGGGCTAAAACCAGAATGTGGAACAATCTACACGACAAGTGGCCTGGGTTCATAAAACATTTAAGGCCATGAAACTTAAACAAAGGCTTAGCACAGCCTATGAGATGTGAAAATAATTAACAATCTACAATCTATCAAGGGAGGGAAAAGGAGGAGCTGATCCCAGGGGCTCAATGGAAAGTAAATGTCTAGAAAAGAATGATGGAATATGTGTATGAATATGTCAGATACAATTGATGTATGGTTTGTAACAAGAGTTAAAAAAGCCAAACAAAGAAAGAAAGACTAAAGAGTAAAGGGGCTGTAGGATAAGCCCTGGGCTGCTAACCACAGGTCAGCAGTTCAAACCCACCCGCCACTCTGCAGAAAAAATGCGGCTGTTTGCTCCTGGAGGCCCTGTATAGGGCCTTGATGAGCCGGATCAGCTCAGTGCAGGCGGAGAGGCGTGGCGGCCGACTGCAGTGTGGGCCCTTTGACTGGAACCCAAGTGGGGTGGGAGGGGAGCTGTTACAAATAGCATGAGACAATTGAGAAAACGTAAATACACTTTATAAACAATAGTAATGCCTTCATATTCATTTTCTTAGGTGCGATCATAGCACTGTGGTTAAGTCTGGAAAGGCTCTTATGCATGGGTACAGGGCATGACATCTGTCATTTTTAAACCATGCAGGAAAACATAAATAGGTAGATAGCTAACGATAAAATTGGCAAAATGTTAACTAGTGACTTGAGGGAAGGTTATATTGCTATTCTTTATACAATTCTCCCAACTTAAAAATGAAAACTAGTAAGTGGTAAAAAATAAATAAACAAAACCCCAACATTTCTTTCTATGTCCCAATAAAATTATCTGCAAGGCAGACGGGATCTGAATGCAAAAAGGAAAGTGCCCAATACCCTGCTAAAAACAAGCTGTGGTTTATATTGAAGGAGAAAGAGAAGGGAGTTGGGGGAGGATGAGACTTGACGTGCTTCCTCTTCCCGTCAGCTAGTGAGCTGCTTGGCATGAGAAGCTAATCAAGTAGAATGTTCTTTAGACACTGGGGGGCTAACCACAAGGTTAACAGTTCAAACCCACGAGCCACTCCAAAGAGAAAGAAGAAGTTGTCTGCTCCCATAAAGATGTGCAGTCTCTGAAACTCTAAACTGAGTGAGGCTCTATGAATCCGACTGACTCAGTGGCAGTGGGTTTGGTTTAGGATCTCAGAGCTTTGAGTTTCTGTCAAATCCAAATTATCAAACTACAGTCCTTTCACCCTCGCATGCTTCTGAGTTTTAGTTTGACTAATGATTCACATAAATCCTTCACGATGCCATAAACTCCAAATATCTTCTCCCATATTAACATTATTTAAATCACCAACCTGCAAGAGGCTAAGGGTTAAATCAAGAAGTGAGGTTACAAACCAACAAAGGAACGTCTCACCTGGCGAGCAAGGTTTGGGGACCCTAGTGGCTAAGTTGGGTTACACAGTTTGAAACCACCCACTGCTCCGAGAGACAAAGATGAGGCTTTCTCCGCCCTTCAAGATTCCGTCTCGGAAACGACTCTGCCCTCGAAGGACTGCTATGAGTTGAAACTGACTGGGTTTGGGTTTAGAGTTATGAAACGGAGATGGAGTAAGTTAACTCACTTGTTTTCCTCCTGGTGCAGTGTGATGGGATGGAGGCTGCGTTCCACTTGGGAGCAGAAGAGCAAAACAACCCAGCAGTGTTGGCATATCAATCAGGCACGAGGAGAACTCGCCATCTGCTCTGTGTCCATCTGTGCTCACACTGCCTAGTTAATGCCATTTAACCCTAGACAACCTCAGGAAATGAGCCACCCCATTTCTGACGAGGTGACGGTAATGGATGAATTCAACCAATAGCCATGGCCAAGTCCAGCTGTGAGTCTGACAACAGATGGCTCATATGGAAAATGATGCTTGATCAGAATCTGGGGAAAGAGTAGTCACAAGTCACAATACTAAATGTACTGAACTATATTCTGACTCTTCAAAGATAACGTATATTGGTGAAGTAGAAGTTGTAAAAGTTGTAAAAAGAAAAGGAAGGTCATTTTCATATTCCTACTTGTCATGAGATGAGAGATAGAGCCTTAGAGTTTAGGAAAGGTGAATTCACAATGCTCGTATAAAAATCAAAATATAATCAGAGAGCCAAAATAAATATTAAGAAGAATGGAACTCCTCCGTGCTACGAGTCCATTCCAGCTGGCAGCGGCACGAGAGGACAGAGAACTGCTGCCCGGGGTTTGGGAGCCTGCAGCTCTTGAAGCAGCACACTGCCTTCTCTGCGGAGCAGCTAGTGGATTTGAACTGCAGGCAGCTTTCAGTTAGCAGGCGCACCCTTACACTATACCAAGCGGTCTCCAATTTAACCATATAAACACGTTAACAGAGTTAGGAACGGTAAACACCCAAACCAAGACACCACTGATCTTTGATGAGCTCAGATCTGTAGAGTGAGAAGACAGTCATATCAAAAACCCCAAGGTCAAGAAGGAAGAGCAACAATAAGGCCTTAGAATAGTGTCCAAGCAACTAAATCCAAAAAGAGTCCAGGATTATGCTTAAAGTTCCCAAAATAATCGGTAGACTGGTAGGTTGGTGAGATGGCAGGTTGATTAGCAATTAAGTTCTATTGATGATAAAAGTAACTGATGCCCCCCAAAAAGAAAAACTAGCAGAACGACTACACTTCCAATTCGCACTTATCTTTATCAATGCAAAAGTGATTCCAACTGGACACGGCAGGTGATGGAAACGAGTACAGAGCAAAGTACATTCTAAGGACCCGAACGATGGAAACAAGGAATGGGGTTGAATCCTCGTACCTCAGCGGGTTACATGTTGGTCTGTTAACCACAAGGTGAGCGGTTCAAACCCACCAGACACACAGTGGGAGGAAAATGAGGCTTTCTACTCTGGTAAAGTTTTACAGCCTCAGAACCCCAAAGAGGCAGTTCTACTCTAACCTATGAGTCAGAATTGGCTCAAAGACAGCGAGTTAACAGAGAACAATCCGGAGGACCCAGAAGCAGTCCTCAAATTTCTGAAAGGCTTTCATGGTAAAGACGACTATTTGCTTTGTGTGTGTCCAGAAGTAGACCTTAGCCCATTGAACAGAAGCTCGAGGGACGAGAATTGGTTCTCTTACCCCTGACAACCGCATTCATGAATGCACACACAAGAGCAACACTCTCCCAGAAGGCACCGGAAGCTCCTCTCACCTGGTAAATTCCCCCATCGCCAGAAATGTGCCAGCAAAAACAAGGTGATTATGCACCCTCAATGGCACAGGGGAAGTTCTCTGAAAAGACAGGAGAAGGCTGAACTAGATGATGGGACATGTCCAGACTCCTATTGGACATCCCCAGCCACGGACATGTGAGTTCTCAAGATGTGCCATCTGGTGTCCGGTCCTTTCTGCACACTCCTTCTTTTCTGAGGAAAAGGCTCATCTTCCCCCACTGCGCCCAGCCCAGCCGAAGAGCAAGCCTCACAGACGCCGGTCTCCAACCCCACGCCCACAGGCACAGTGTCATGCCTCACCTAGACGAGTTGTTCTCCTACAGAGCTCCCAGCGGCATGCCTGCTCCTCGGATCTCCCCCCACCTCACTACAATGCAAACACACTCACAGCATTCCCCTACTGAAAACACTCAATGGGCCCTGAATGCTAATGCCTGAAATGCAAAGCGTAATTTCTGTAGCACGGCATGTGGGTACGGTCTTCCAGGACCTGGCCCACGTTCGTGCCTCTCACCTTGCAAGTTGCCTTCCACTAGCACGGAAGGGCTGCACATTCCACTGTCTTCCACGCTGCTATCTGCGACCACACTCCTTGCAGCCCTGGAATGGAATTCCAGCCGTGCTTTTCTTCCCTAAAATCACAGCTCAAGTTTCATCTCCTCTTCAGAAGCTCTCTCACCTACCTCCAAGACAGAGCCATCTGGCCCTCGTTTTGTGCTCCAATCTGTGGTGGATTGAGTGGAGCTATGACACTGGCATTTCACATTGCAGCAGGTCACTCGGGCGGGCGTCAGCAGCGCATCCAGATTGCCTGAGACAGACGAATAAGACAGGCCCAGGCCTGGACTTGTACATCTACTTCTGAAAGCTAGTCCATGAAGCCCCTAGGGATCACAGCAGGGCACTGCCTGTCCAGTACCCTGCTAGAAGCTGAGCACCGCAAGCAGGCGGGGACCCAAACCACACGGCAGCTACCACAATGGACTGGATCGGGAACCTGGCTTCGAACCAGGCGAAGTTTCATTCTGCGTGCACGGGTTACCATGTTTCAGAGCCAACTCAACAGCCACTGATAAAAATGACAGTGCCCTCAGTCTTTCTAGATGTTCAGAAGTGTGCACATACGAGAGAATGTCAAATAGCACCCTTTAAGTATCTTTTTCTCCTGCTGCTAATTCATAGAAATGGTTACATACAGCTCTTTCAAACTACCTGTTCCTGTGAGTCTTTTCAAGCGGACTGCCATTCACGAGCATCAAGAGCCCTCTTTCCCACTTCTCCTCCTGCTGTTGGCACGCAGCCCTTTCCCTGCCACAGAGGAGGGACTTCATCAGTGCTTCCTGAATAGCATTAAACAACACTGCATTTTGTTGACAACATGTCTCACTTTCTACCCCTCAGATAGTGACGGAGAACACATGCCCCCCTGACCCCCACGGGGCAGAAGAAGCCACGGAGGGAGGAGGGCTGAGGCAGGGGGGGAGGCTCTGTCTGCAAGCCCACCAGTACTGTCTGCTCCTGACAGGAAGTGCAGCCATCAAATGAAGGTCTCACCACCGCCCCTCCATTCCAGAACCGTGGGGCTGCTCCCAGAACTCGGGGCCAGAAAACACAGCTGCTGCGCCGGGTGTGGGTGATGCAGGGGCTGTTCAGGAATCCCAGAGGGAACCCCAGGGAAATCCGAACTCCTGTTGAAGGAAAGATGTTTTGGAGGAAGTCCAAAGTCTTTTTGCAAATTACCAATAAAATCATTATGTTGAGAGGCAAACTGCCAAGAAGAACCTGAAATCAATCTCGTTCTTTGCAGGCAAGCCAGCGAGCGAACTTGTGAGGGGTCTGCTGGGTGACGGTCAGAGTGCAAAAGGACAGCAGCCTGAAGAATCGGATGATCCACCAGCCAAAGGCACCGCTCCTAGGCAACCGGGAGCAGGTAACGAGGAGCCTGGGGGAGGGAATGGCTGAATCCAGGCCAGGCTCACCTTCATTCCTTCCAGATACGGACACACAACGAAACAGTGGTCTCAATGTCAATGAACGATGGCAAAGGAAACCAGGCCAGTGAACAGTCAAGGCAGAAGTGGCAACAAAGGAGAGAGTCAGCTCAGTTATCAGACCTCAGAAGGGATAGGAAAACACGACTGAAGTTAAAGAACACCCACCCCAAAACGGACACGCTGTACTCTCCTGTTCTCCGAGACCACTAGTAAGAGTTCCACGTGGTGTTTCTCCATCAATTAGCTAAGCCCCAGGTCAGCACGCCCTTACCAGCCTCTCCCTCCAGTGGGCTCAGAGCTTCTGCGGACCACCAGGCCAGGGCAACTCCTGATCGGTGCCCCCCTGGCCTTTGTGTCTGTGTACCCAGCCCAGCCTCTGATTCACAGTAACTGTTTGACAAACAGCAAGTAACAAACCTGGAATGACTTCTAACAGGTCATGCCTCAGTGCCAGCTTGTGCCGTAGTGACAGAGAACTGCAGTCTCCTCTCACACGGAAACGGAGGAGAGTGATTAGTCTCGGGTGGCTCGTGAGCACCTCCCGGGAGCCCGCCCACCCTCACAGCTGTGTTCCAAGATGTTCTATAAACCAGTTTAAAAAGCCTACTACAAAAGAAAGCCATCTCAGATGAGAAGTGGTCTCTTTATTGATTATTCAAATATTTACTAAGTGCCTACAAGCCTTGTAGGTAGAAATACTGCCCTACAAAGACCTTCTAAATGAGTTGAGAATGTAGTTAATTAAAACAGTCAGCTCACATGGCCGTCAGCAAATACTTTGACCAAGACACTCTAGGGATTCAAAAGACAGGGAGGTCACTGGCTGGGAAGCCGGACTTAGAAGGGACACAAAGCCTCAGGCTAGTGACAGAAAGGCCATTTCATTGCAAAACGGGATCCCTGGGGACGGCAGGAAATCACAATTATGGTTTGAGGATTGGGACAAACTAGTGACTGCCGTATCACTTCCTGCTGCTCTTCCTGATGAAGTGGACAGGGACGAGGGCCGGTCGTCGGCGGGGCAGGAGGAGAAGCATACACCCTCTCTCTGTGTGAGCAGCATGCCGACTAAAAGCTGAGAGCTCGCCCAGATTTAGGCCAGGCTCAGACTGCTCTCTGGGACACATGCGCCTGTCAACTGAAGCTCTGCGCTGAGATACATATTTGCAAACGCTTTATTTGGCCCTTACAAACAGGCACCTCCAAATGACCTGTACAAAGCGAGGTGCGCTATAGCTTCCGTGAGCCCCTACATCCTTTTCAATGATGGGGAGGCTCCTCGAGTCCCCAGCAGCATGTTTACATTCCTCAGGCTGGTTTGCTGCAACCAGAACAGCAATGACACTGCATTTCCTGCACACACGGGAGCCAACAGATGGTGTAAGAGAGCTAGAATCCTGCTGACTACATTTAAGACACCAACCTCGAATGTGAACGTACCCTGCAGCAGAATTCAACAAGAAGAACTGAGAGGCACTTCTAAAACCTGAATACAGTACAAAGAATGAAATGCATTTCCAGGAAGTCAGGCACGTCCCTATTGGTATTCACAGATAGAAATGTCCCACAGAGAGAATCCCTGGCAGCACAGTGGTTAAAACCTCGATCGCTAACTGGGCGGTCAGTGGTTCAAACACAGCAGCTGCTCTGCACGAGAATCTGTGGCTGTCCGCTTCCCTGAAAATTGCAGCCCTGCAAATCCTAAGGAGCAGTTAGTTCTGCTTGTCCCTTAGGGGTGAGAAGAGCCAGAATTGACGGGAAGGCCAGGGGGTGGCTTAGCCTGGAGTTTACCACAATGACAGGATTGCTTACATGTCTGTCTTACAACTGGGGCCTGGGATCTTTCTTTGTTCCTTCTTCCTACCTCTTGATTGGGAATTGGGTGAATCCACAGGCATTTTGTTTCCTGGCATTTATTGCAATCCCCACCAGGCACCACCCATCATCCTAATTGCCTCTCGTGTTCCCCCTTTCTGTTCCTCCTAATTTGCTACCCCTTACTGCCTTCCGAATGTGTCCTCGGCAAACACTGCCTTCTTGATGTCAGACACTTCGTTATTTGGAGGTGTTGCTACCTTCCTGATGTTCACGGTCCTCTTGCAAACTTGTCTCATGTTGGCCTAGGAGCCCTCGTGGTGCAGTGGTTATGTATGGGGCTGCTAACTGCAAGGGCTGCAGTTCTAAGCCGGGACTCAGTTCCAAGGTAGAAAGACAAGGCTTTCCACTCTCACAAAGAGTCACAAGCTCACAAACCATAGGGGCAATTCTACCCAACCCGATAGGGTCAGAATTGATGTGGTGGCATAGTTGTTTGTGTTGTTTTGTATTGTTGGGCTAACTCTTGGGTCATGGAGGTAAATGTATGTCCAGACCTGAAGGGTGACTAATGGCATCTTCTGTGCTATTCCACCGATCTCTATCCAACCAGTCAGCCTGGGCATTGTTAGGATGCCAAGCTTTGTTCCACATTTTCCTCCCACGCCATGCAGGCCCTTCTAATGAGATCCCTTTCAGAGCAGATGCCAGGGGTAGCCAGGGACCATCCAATTCTTCTGGTCCATCAGACTCTGGACTAATGATTTCCATGAGTCTTTGCTTTTCCTCCTTCTTCTTTGCAGCCTGCAGGCTTTTAAGACCCCAGCCACCACTTACCAAAGTAGGATGCAGAACACTGTCTCTGTGCCAATTGACCCTGATGTCCCCACAACTAGGGCCCTAAGCCTCCAGGCCCAGTGGCCCACTCCTAAGGAGGAGTGGAAGGGTGGAAGATGATGCCCTATTTCTTTTTAGGTATCTAGTACCTGGCATGCACAGTTGGTGTTAGTTGCTGTAGAGTGTGTGGGACCCCGAGTGGAAACGCATGCCTGTGCATCCCTATGATGGGCTGCCATCCGAATATGGACACAGAGTGTTGCACAAAAGCAGGGCCCAGCTGCGTTAGCTGGAAAGAAGAAGCTGCCAGCATCACAGCCGGTAAGACACAGAGCACAGCTCTGGGCTTCTCTGAGGTCAGGCTTCGGGCACGTGTCAAATTAAGCTCCAGGGAGCAGAACAGCTGCTAAGAATGCCTTTTTCAAACCACCCACCTTTCTTGCTTCCGGTCCAGTTTCTAAACAGAACAAAGAAACAGCAGGCCCTGCTCCTGACATCAAACAAGATGATTGCAGAAGTCCTCTCCAACTCCCTCAGCCATCCAGCAGGTGGGCTCAGTGGAAAAACAGGGAGCCGTGAGGACCAGTCTGTCCTCAAGCCGGTTCCAACTCACAAGGAACCTACTTGTACCAGTGCCGCACACTGCTCCATGGAGGTTTCCACCGCTGACGGTCAGAACTAGATTGCCAGGCCTTTCTTCCAAGGTACTTTGAAGTGGACTTGAACCTTGAACCACTCAGTTAACATCCAAGTGCTTTACCACTTGTGCTACCCAGGTACTCTGGCCTAGCATTAAACATTCAGTAAACTCAGGCAAACGTGCTTAACAAAGTAGAGGTTATAAACTCTAGACCGCTTTGCTATCCAGAATGATTGCCAAGAGGATTGAAGCTCATTTGCAGACCTGCATGCGAGTCCTACTTCTGTCGCTCCAGGTGGAAGGCCTTGGCAAATTACTTCAACTTACTGGGCCTTGTTTTTCTCATCTGTTAAGGAAGCAGGTAGCTCCGAATGTCCCTTCCAGCTCTAACTCTCTTTGAACACTCCCCAAACCAAACGCATCCCAGCAAAAGCCGGTGAAAAGCAAGGGCAGTCGTTCTGTTGGCTCAAAGAGCAAGCTTCTGTGTCGTATGACACACACAACAGAAAAAGAGTGAGTTTTTAATCAGTATTACCATAGATAGTCGTGTATATGCCGAGGTTTTTCAGCACATTTTTAATGCAGTTTTTGTGGTAAAATTAGGTGCCTCGGCTGATATTCAGGTTGGCTTAATACACTTTTTTCAAATCAATCAGATCAAGTACTCCATTTCATGCTCACAATGACCCTTTAATAAAAGAAGGGCAGGTCACTATGTCTATTGCAGAAATATGGGCATTTTAAGTAATTTCCTAAGATCACCAATTATGCTAATAATGTTGGGAACAGGAATTGAAACCTAGCATTATAGGAAGAATATCTACTTACACCACAAACTTCCATTTCTGGGTAACTAATTTGGTGCTGGGAGACAGGCAAGGCCTTCTACTCCCATAAAGAGTTACCGTCTCAGAAACCTACAGGGTGGCTTGGACTCCCAATTGACTCAATGGCCGTGAAAGAACGTGGTGCTAAAATACACAGGTTACCAGCACCTATTACTGAAGGTTTTGATCAAAGATTCCATGGAAGACTTCTGACCCAAAGGGCCAAACAACCAATTCTCATGGGTGCACAGGTTCAACCTATGAAGGCGGGTTGAACCCCCAACACCACTGTCCTGAGATAACCCTTAAACTGCAAGCCAAAGACATTCCCCCGAAGTCATGTTCACCCCAACCACAGTTTAGCTTCACTAGGAAGAAACAGGTGCTTTGAGCGCCATGCTCTTTAAGAACGAAGTGCCTGCAGCAGTGAGACAGACAGACAGACAGACAGACAGACAGACAGACCCCCCAGGGGTGGTGAGGGTGTGCTAGGCAAGGAAGGCAGAGAAGAGCTACACGGTGTGAACAATGTAACCACTGTCACTGAACGGAGCATGCAGAGTGCTGGAGCGGTG